CCAGCTGCTTCAGTCCTGGACAGGCAAGAAGCAGGGGCCAGGCTGTGGGTCCCGGGCCCTTTGCCCCCCACTCAAGGAGCCCCTGTGTCCTGACCAGGATACCACCTAGAGTCGTGACAGTCTGGACTTTGGAAGGGGAAAGTGACACCTCCCTGTGTATGGCTTCTGTGTTTGAGCTGAGGAAACTGAGGCCCGAAAGATGCTGTAAGTTATCCAAGGACCTAGGAGGGGCTCACAGCCAAGCTGGGCAATGTCCCACATTCTCCCCAGTGCAGGCCCTACACCAGTCCCTGGGCTGCAGATTTGCTACGATGCTGGGAATCAGCTGACCACTCAGCTCTCAGCCATCAGACCCTCAGGATAAGGACCAGAGGGCGCCCATGTCCAGCTGTGGACCAGTGCCTGCACTGACGAGTGCCCACCAAGGCTCAACCAAGAGTGTCACCAGGGTACGGGACACTGGCTGAGAGTATACAACCTCGGCGCCTCGTGAGACCCTGGGGTCCTGGGGTGGTGCAGGGAGATGCCACAGGTGTCAAAAGCCAGTGGCATCCACTAGAACACACTGGGCTGTCTCCACCGTGTTTATCTCCTGTGCTGCAGCAGGTACTCGTGCCTGGGCTCTCTGGGTCGGGAAGGGCTGGACAGGCAGCTGCTTGGGCAGCTGTCGGCATACACGCGTGCCCACCACCCAGCCAGGGCACTTGGCAGAGAGCCGCCGCCCCTGCCAAGCCGTCCTAGCGGCCTCCCTGCCGCGGGCTGGGGTCACGGCAGGCTGAAGGGGGCTCCCAGGGCGCCCCCATCCGACCTGGGACCCCCCACCCTGCCCCGCTGTGCTCTCCCGTTGCTCCTCCCTAGCACCCGGGCTCCGCCGACCTTACCTCGGGAGGCAGCCAGGAAGAAGGCGAGGAGCACAGGCCCCCGGCGCCAGCTGCCAGCCTCCGGGACTGGGGGGACGCCCATGTCGCCGTCGGGCAGAGCTGCGTCTGGCACAGCCGGGCCGGAGCGGAGCCCGGGGGCGCGCAGGGGGCACTCCTGGTTCGCGGGGAGCGGACGGGACGCGGCCGGCGGGGAAACCTCCGCGCGAGTGAGCGCAGAGCAAGTGAGCGCGGCCGGCAGCCCGAGAGCCGCCCGCTCCCAGGGGCCCACAGCGCCCCCGGGCGGCCAAGGCTGAAGCGCTGCCGCTCCGAGGGCCCCCGCGGGAGGGGCTTCCCGCTGACTCGCACCCGGCTGGCCTTGTAGGTGGGGGAGCCAGTCAGTATGCCAAGAGTCAGCGCCACTTGATCGCCCGTTTGAAGCCTTTTCTTCTCTCCCCCATTACTCTTTGCAGAGGATTAGTATTGTTGTAAAGCCTGAGAAGTACATCTGCGTCTAACTTAGCGCGATATTATCATCATCATCATAGATTGTATCAGCCCTCACCCACCAGCAGAGGCTTGTACCTGACGTCCTCCAGCCCGGCCCGGGTCCTGGCACTCCCAGTAGTGGAATGACTGACTGAATGAATGAATGAATAGATGGACGGATGGATGAAATGTAACTTGTAAAGAGCTAGGTGAGTGAGTTGGGGCAGGCTTGACTGTAGATTCCAGAGCCTGCAACACCCTTGTGCACGTGCACACACATGTGTGGCAGGTGCAGGAGTACCCAGCAGGCTTGGCACACCCCTACACTAGGACACACACACGTGTGTGTGTGTGTGTGTAACACCAGGTAGTGTGTCCCACAGGAAATCATCAGTACTCCTCTCACCCAGGCCCCAGCCTCTCTTACTCCCTGCAGCCTAGATGTCTGCAGGATGCTCTCACACACACACACACACCCTCTAGTCCTCTGCTCTTGCACCCCACCCAGCACTGACACTGCTGGCAATATCTCTCTCCTCTTTCAAGTCCTGGTCTCAGAGAGAAGGGGCTCCGTGGGGCAGCACTATTAGAGCCCCCCACTCTCAGCCCCTGCAGCCTGGACGATGGTTAAACCCACTTCCAGGAGTCTGGGAAAGTAGGAAATGTCAGTACCACCACCCCCATTGGTGAGGCTGGAATCCAGCCCTCTCCTGTAGGGCGGCACTCGTGTGCTCTTGCTGGCCGAAGGGGCTCAGCAGGATGCAATGCTGGACTCCTCGCCAGTGGTAAGTGCTCAGAGCTGTATATATATATTTTTAACATCTTTATTGGGGTATAATTGCTTTACAATGGTGTGTTAGTTTCTGCTTTATAACAAAGTGAATCAGTTATACATATACATATGTTCCCATATCTCTTCCCTCTTGCATCTCCCTCCCACCCCTCCAGGCGGTCACAAAGCACCGAGCTGATGTCCCTGTGCTATGCGGCTGCTTTCCACTAGCTATCTACCTTACGTTTGGTAGTGTATATACGTCCATGCCTCTCTCTCGCTTTGTCACAGCTCACCCTTCCCCCTCCCCATATCCTCAAGTCCGTTCTCCAGTAGATCTAGTCTGTCATACAGAGTGAAGTAAGTCAGAAAGAGAAAGACAAATGCCGTATGCTAACACATACATATGGAATTTAAGAAAAAATAATGTCATGAAGAACCTAGGGGTAAGACAGGAATAAAGACACAGACCTACTGGAGATCAGAGCTGTGTGCAGAGCCACAAGATGAACGCGGTGGCCTTCCTAGACAGTCATCTTTACTCAAATATTTGGGGCCTCTACCACCATTTTTAATGGAAACTAATGCAAACACGTTATGGAAAAGATTGCGAAATTTATATGAGCTTTCAAAGATAACAGGAGGGATTTCACAGGTATTTCATTCTTGAGACAAAGGCTTCAGGCTCTTCCCCAGCTCAGTGCAGGTTCCCTCTCCACCCCGGTGGGGAAGTTTGAGCAACGTAAAGCTAATGCATTTTCCCTCTCTGTGTGATCGTTATTTTTATGAAGATTCATTGAGACTCTAAGACCCAGAGGAATACCTCCCTGATGGAGGAGGGATTCAGACTGATGATGGCAGACCAGATCCTCGGAATGTCTGAGCCAGAAGGGATGTTAAAGAAAAGTCAAGTCCCTTACTAACAGACAGAAAAGGTCCAGAAAGGACCTCTGTGACATGTCCAAGGTTACAGAGCCCCATCTCAAGGCTGTCAGGCCTACCTGCTTTGGAAACAGTTCCAGCAACCACCTAACATGCCCCGCCCCCCACCCTCCCCCTGCCAAGATCTAGAGCTGCAGCTCAGGGCACTCATACCCTCCGCAGGGGCAGTGACAGTCTTCTGTCCATCTGTCCATCCTTCCACAGGTGGTTCCAGAGCCAGCCAGACCCCAGAAAAGGTGCACACAAGTTGTCTACATCCAGCTGTTTGCACCACCTGCTTTCTCTTCCCTGCCCTTGGCAACGGCCTGGTCACATCCTCTCTACCCAGATGTTTTTGAAGTTGTTATAACCTGATTATTTTATATTAGTCACTAATTACAGTTTGTATCAGTCAGGGTCCTGGCAGGAAACAGAGGCACACTCAGAAAGGGCTCAACTGAAGAAAGTTTAATGGAGGGACTGTTTACAGAGGGCTGGTGAAGCACCCGTAGACTAAAAACTGCAGGAAGCCATTACCACCCACGGGTGCAGAAGGACAAGAAGAGGGCGTGAGGTGACTGGAGCCCAGTGAGGTCCAGAGGCGTGAAAGAGGGGCCACCCAGCAGGAGAAACACAGCCTCCGGCAGAACTGCAGTGAGGAAAGGAGGGAGTGAGGGAGAAATGCCCCCCCCCCACCTCTCCTCCTGTCTTCCGCCGGGACCTCGCATTGGCCAAACCATCTGGAAGCCAGATGGCAAGGGAGCCCAGGTGAGGCCGTCCACAGAGGACATCCTCCCAGGTGGAGAAGCAGAGAAGAGAGGAGGGCAGCCGAGGGACACAGAATACCAGCACATGGCTAATTTCTTCCTTCCACTTATCTCCTCTGCCTGGGAAGTGCCACATCAACCATTTCTCAATGGTTCTTGAGTGCTGCTTGCTGAGTTTCGATTGGCTGAATATTACCTGTGGTCTGATTGGACCAAGCATCAGCCAAAAATGGCCAATCACAGGAGAATATGGAGTGAAATTGTCCTTGCAGTGAAGTCATGCTCTATGAGCCTTATTTTTCACAGCTCAACAAATTCTGCACGTGTAGTAGCCCCAAACCCCATGTCCTTCCTCTCAAAAATGCTGAAAATAGGCATTGCTTCCAGTTACATGGACAATGGGTGAAGTTTAAACGGGTGGGCTGAGTACATCACATTCTTGCTTTTTGTGATCTGGAAGGAGGCCCAGGGTCAGTAAGGCCCTGGCCCAGTCAAAGCTATGGGCTGGAGAACGAAATTGGGCCATTTGTAGAGACGTGGATGGATCTAGAGACTGTCGTACAGAATGAAGTAAGTCAGAAGGAGAAAAAAATATATCGTATATTAACGCATATATGTGGAACCTAGAAAAATGGTACAGATGCAGGACAGAAATAGAGACACAGATGTAGAGAACAAACGTATGGACACCAAGGGGGGAAAGTCGCGGAGGGTGGTGGTGTGATGAATTGGGAGATTGGGATTGACATATATATACTAATATGTATAAAATGGATGACTAATGAGAACCTGCTGTATAAAAAATAAATAAAATTTTTTAAAAAGCTATGGGCTGGAGGCAGTTACTGGAGTTCATCTCATATGCCAATTGTAATCACTAGAGCAACGTGCTAACCAGGATCCTGAGGTTGCGTCCGGCCTCAGCAGTGCCGTGATCGGTTAGTGATGTCATGGACGATGAGAGTGGTGGTGCGAGTGCCATCCTGGACCTAAGCAGTTGCCTAGCTTGGCTTTTGACAGAGCCTCTGGGACTTCCTCTGTCAGCCTGGGACTTCCCTCGCTCTCATCCTTCCCCCTTTCCCTCACCATGTTGGATCACGCTGAGTAAGTGCAGCCTAGGAATGCATCCAGCTGGCTCCACCTCAAACCCTCTAGCCAGCGGACCAAGGAACCTGATCGTGCTCTTCTCCATAGGCCACCACCCACGTGTATGTGACCATCGTGGACGAGAACGATAACGCGCCCACGTTCCAGCAGCCCCACTACGAGATCTTACTGGATGAGGGCCCGGACACAATCAATGCCAGCCTCGTCACCGTCCAGGCACTAGACCCGGATGAGGGGCCCAACGGCACAGTTACCTATGCCATCGTTGCCGGCAACATCATCGACACCTTTCACATCGACAGGCACACGGTCAGTGGCTGGTGGCGGGGTCCAGGAAGAGGGTCAGCTGGCCAAAGGGATTGGAGGGGAGCTCAGTGACATCATGGGGGTGGGAGCAGAGCAAAGATGGAGTCCGGGAGGAAACTGGGGGGGGCAGCCAGTACGGGAGGATGAAAAGGTTGGGTGGGGCCTGGTTTAGAGGACAACAGGGACTCCCTGTCATGGCCAGGATGTTAGGGCCAACCTCCCTCCTGGGGTGGTCAGAGGATGCCCCAGACCCACCACCTATTGATCCACCCTCGTCCCCTCTACTTATCCTGCAGGGAGTCATCTATGCTGCCAAGGAGCTGGACTACGAGATCAGCCATGGCCGCTACACCCTGATCGTCACCGCCACGGACCAGTGTCCCATCTTGTCCCATCGCCTCACCTCTACCACCACGGTGGGTGGGTGGGTAGATGGGACAGAGCCCCAACTTGGGGGTGGGGTAGGACAGGTCACAGAAAGGTCCTGTGGGGAAGCGGGGTTTCCAGGAGAAACGCCTAAATCCACGAGCCCTGTCCTGGTCTCAGCAACTCACCCAAACTTGCAGTGTGACTTTGAGGAGGTTACTGAACCTCTCTGTGTGGCTGCAGCTATCAGATAGATGATGACACCTGCCTTCCTCCCCTTCACGGGAAGGGCACAAACTCCAGTCAGACCGACAGGGGTTCATGTCCCTGATCTTCTACTTCCTAACTGTGTGACTCTGGGCAAGTCACTTAACCTCCCTGAGCTTCACTTTCCTCCTCTGTAAAGGGGGGACAATAAAAAACTGTTTCAGGGTGTGGGAGGAGCAAATGAAACCAGAAAAACGATGACCATAGTACAGCAATAAACAGAAGTTCATAGCATTATTATTAATAATATTATTATGCCCATAGAGAGACTTTGACAATAACAATAGCTTATCCACATGAATAGCTTAAAAAGCCCTCCCACATCCGTTAACCAGTATGATTCTTCCATCATCCTATGAGGCAGGATTATCAGATCCAGTTTACAGATGAACAGGGCTGGCAGGGGTGCGGTCCTGACTAAGTTCGCTCATCATCTCAGGTGCTTGTGAACGTGAATGACATCAACGACAATGTGCCCACCTTCCCCAGAGACTACGAGGGACCATTTGATGTCACCGAGGGCCAACCAGGACCCAGAGTGTGGACCTTCCTGGCCCATGACCGGGACTCGGGCCCCAATGGGCAGGTGGAGTACAGCATCGTGGACGGAGACCCTCTGGGTGAGTGGGGCCTGAGCTGGGTGATGGGGGTGGCATGACCCAGCGGGCCTCTCCCCGACCCCACTCAGGAGCAGGATGAAAAAGGAGGTCTCAAGGCAATTAGCCCCACCATTGTGCGATGGGGCCTCAGTTTCCCCACCCATAAGATGATGAAAGTAATCTTCTCCCAGGAATATGGTGAGAACACTCTGAAATCTGGGAGCAGAGGCTGGTAGCCTTGGAAGGTCACAGACTCCTTTGAGAATCTGATAGAAAACACCCCTGTGTCATACCCAGAGAAAAGGCTCCAGGCAAGAGGAAAGACGAGCACCCTTGCCCCAGACCTTCAGGACCCCCCAAATGCACACATGCAGGGAGCACCCAGATTTCTCTGCATATCTCATCATCCCTTAATAGCCTTCACAACTAGCCCGACTGTTCTCCTCAGTTGAGGAGCAGGGCTTGCCTGGCCAGAGCAATTTCTCAGGATGGTTTTTACTCACTTTTGTAGAGTAGGAATCCCAAACTCAAGGCCTACTGGGGCCATGCAGGGAGCACACATGGGAGAAAAGGTCTGGGCAAGAGAAGAGGGAGTGGTGGGGGCTGCAGCAGCCACAGCTCCGCTCTTGCCGATTGTGGTCAGGTTGAAATGCAGGCCCCGGGGTTGGGGCGGGGGAGCCCTTCCCATTTTTAAAAGAAATGCTGGAAATCCAAATCTTTGTGAAACATCCTGATTTTTAATTGAGCACTCAATAAGTATGTATTGAGCATTTGCTGACCACATTCCAGGCGCTGAGGATACAGAATGGTAAAAAACAGATACAAATCCCTGCCCTTATAGAACATATGTTCCAGTTGGAAGATACAGGCCATGAACATAACTGGTTAAGCAGACGACTTAGTCTATTGGGAGGTGCTAAGCGCTACGGAGAAATATAAAGCCAGGAGATGGGGAACGCCAGGGTGAAGGCTGCAGTTTTAGAAAGACTGCTCAAGGAAGACCTGTGCAAGGAGGTGACATTTGAGCAAAGACCTGAAGGAGGTGAGGAATGGGTCATGTGGACATCCAGGGAAGAGCATGATAGACAGAGGGAGCAGCAAGTGCAAAGGCCCTGAGGTTGGAGTGTGCCTGGCTTGTTCACAGAGGAGCAAAGCGGCCCAGTGGCTGGCATGAAGCCAGGCAAGGGGAAGAGTAAGAAGAGATGAGATCAGACAGGTAATAGAGACAGATGTTGGGTCTTGTAGGCCATTATGAGGACTTGGCTTTTTCTCCGAGTAACATGGGAACCATAGGAGGGCTTTGAGCACAGGAGGGATGTGATTTGACTTAGATTTCAACAGGAGCACTCCATTTCCTGAGCTCAGACCAGACCATAGAGGTTAGGGAATGGCTGGTAGGAGCCTGTTGCAGTCACTGGGGCTAGAGATGGTGTAGCTGGGACCAGGGAAGCGGCGCTGGAGATCGTGAGAGTTCTGGTATATTTCACAGACGGCCAATAGGACATGCTGACTGATTGGATGTGAGATGTAACCTAAAGTCAAGGATGACACCAAGGTTTTGGCCTGAGCAGCCATGCTGTTAGCAGATGGGAAGACTGCAGCAGGAGCAGGAAAGGTGGGGCGATGGGGAGGAGGGTGAGGATAGGTTTGAGATGTCAGATAGGCCTTGGATATACAAGCCAGGAGTTCAGGAGAGAGGTCTGCAGTGGAGAGATGTATTTGGGAGTAGTCACCCCAGAGATATTTAAAGGCATGAGATGAGAGGAGTGCACTGACACAGCAGGCAGAGGAGAGGTTATAGAACCTGGGATGAATTTTCAATTAAGAGGCTACAAACACAAACCCACTTCTGTAGGGCCCGACGTGGAGCCCCTGCTGTCCAGAGCTTGCGGTGGGCCACTCTGTTCTGACATGTCACCCTTTCATGTCCCGAAAGTCCTTTCCCTGTGCCTTCCTGCTCTGCCTTTCTCCTGTGCTCTTGTCACACACACGCCCAGCGGTTGTATCATGTCATGGGAGCCCTGCTCCTGTTCCGTAGGATGCCAAAGTCTGCTTGACAGGTGGCTGCTGGGTGGGCAGCTGAGCCCCTCCCAGGAAGGGACCCTCTCTGCACCCGCCTCCAGGGTGCGGGGCTCACACTCATGCCCAGCAGACTGCAGACTGCTCCCTGCCACGGGCCTTTGCTGTCCTGAGCAGAACCTGCCAGGTTAAGTGCACACAGGATCGGGGCCAGCCTAGGGATTTGCGGCCTCATAGGGGCAGGCAGAGAGGCAGGCCCCTGGGGCAGTGAGAGGGGTCAGGAGTTTCCCCAGGCTGACCCGGCCTGGGGTCCCTCCCCCTGGAAAGGAAGAGGAGACATTCACAGCCCAAAGATAACTTGGGGATCACCAAGAACTGCCCCCACTCCAGAGGAGATAAGCAGAGCCTGGGCGGGGTGAGGTGGGTGACCTAGTGCTATGCTGGAGCTGCTGGCACAGGTCGCGACATCCACTCCCCACCTCTCTCCTCACCTCCGGGTTCCCTGACACCATGTTGGTAATTTGAAAAACTGACAAACACTATAAATCAGGGCTGTTTTCCTGGAAAGCCAGTTGAGCAACACCACGGGTGAAAGGATGTACTCCAAGCCACCCGGCTTCAAGGTCACCTTCCCACCACTGCAGCCTGAACCTGGAGGGGGCTCCTGCTGGTGGGAAGACATCAGGGCTGCCTGGGCTCTTATAAGCCCCACTAAGCTGCGAGGAGGCACGTGGTCAAAGAGCAGTTGGGAGGACTTCCCTGGTGGCGCAGTGGTTAGGAATCCGCCTGCCAGTGCAGGGGACACGGGTTCGAGCCCCGGTCCGGGAAGATCCCACACGCCGCAGAGCGGCTAGGCCCGTGAGCCACAACTACTGAGCCTGTGCTCTAGAGCTCACATGCCACAACTACTGAAGCCTGCGCGCCTAGAGCCCGTGCTGCACAACAAGAGAGGCCACTGCAATGAGAAGCCCGCGCACCGCAACGAAGAGTAGCTCCCGCTCAACGCAACTAGAGAAAGCCTGCGCACAGCAGTGAAGACCCAACGCGGCCAAAAAAAAAAAAAAAAAAGAATGGTTGCGAAACAGGCCATGTCACTTGCGCCTCTCCCCCCTCTATCCTGGCCTTCTCAGAACCTCCAGCGGCCCTTTCTGGTCAGGTCCACTCATTGGACCCCTTTCTTACATCCTCATCTTCCATGTAAGCCCCCAGCTCCTTCACAGGGCTGCCTGGGCTCCCTTTCAGGATGCCCCTAATGATACAAAGAGCTGCCGTGGGTCCAGCATACACGAGGTGAACTGGGGCTTGTCCAGCACCAGCACAACCCTGCTGTGGTACCTCTTTATTAGCCCATTTTTCAAATGAGAACATCAAGGCGAGATTTAATCACATGCCCAAGGGCACATAGAGCGAAGTCAACATTGCAGACCAGGATATGACTGATGGAAAGCCTCTGCTTTGACCCTCTATCTCCAGAAGGAGTGGAGTGTTGGGGGGTTCAGGCCCCGGGGCAAGCTGCTGAGGAGGGCATTTTGCTGTTTGGGGGCCTTTGACCTGCCTACCTCCCCCACTGAGCTGACCTTGTGGGGGTCTAGCCTGGGCCCAGCCCCCAGCACCTCAGGCCTGCTCAGGCAGGCTGCCTTCAGAACCTCTTCCCTTCCATCAATGGGGTGGTTTGCTTTGGAGAGAAGGCAGCTGGCCATCTGCTTGCACGTGGCCAGGGGCTGAGACAGGGCTGGGAAACCCCTAGAAAGGGAATCCCCTGTTCTTTGGAGACCTTGGATTATCAGCTTCAGGAAATCCTGCTTCAAGTGGCTTCCGCCCCTCTAAGCAGGGTGTAGCCCATAGGACTGCTGGGAGCGGAAGGGCTGGTGGGAAATCCCAGCTGCAGGTGGGCCGCGGAGGGGCTGTTTCGGTAAATCAGAGCCGTAGGAGCTGGAGGCAGGGAGTTGTGAGGTAGGTAGAAGCAGGCAGAGAAAATTGTTGGGGAGCTTGGGCCTCTGTCCTCGCTGCACCCTTGCGTGCTGCGTGTCTCTGAGTGAGTCATTGCCCCACTCTAAGCCTTTTCCCCCAGATGCCAAAAGGGAAAGTGAAGGAAGTAACTTTCTCACTGTTCCCAGTTCCTGGGGGAGCGCAGAGAGGTGACCCCCTCTTCCTCACACTCTCCCCTCCTCCCTCGTTCATCCTCCCTCACTTTCCTCAGCCCCCTGAGCACTCCTGTCCAACTGGGACCCCACTGGCTCCCCTGTCATCCTGCCCCTCTGCTCTTCTCCTCCACCCCTATCTGTTCTTACCCCTCCCACCCTGGTCAGCTCTGAGTGGTAAGTCCCATGGATGTAGTGAGCTGAGATGCAGAGCCCTAGGTTCGAGTCTGGGTTCTACTGTTTACTTGCTATGGGGGCTCTAACAAGTCATCACCCTTCTCTCCCGTTTCGTTTTCTAAAGGACACGGGATGGTCTCTGAGGTCTCTTCCAGTTCAGAGCCTGAGAATCTGAGGTTCTTGCTCTAGACATCCTCAGCCATCTGGCCCCCCAGCCAGGCCAAGACAAGGATTGAAGCCAAAGGGCCAGCTGAGGGTCCTCAGCAACCTCAAAGAAAGGAAATCAGGTCCACCTAGGCGCCAAGGGATGGCCATAGGCCTGGGAGAGCCCTGGCTGCGCTCCATGTGGCTCCATTCAGGGCTGAATGGAGGGCAGTTGGGGGCTTCCCTGTCCCTAATCCCTCCCGCTCCGTCCTGCCCCGGTGCCTCACCACTAGCAAGGAGTCCCTTTGGGGTTAGCTTTGCCCTTCCCCAATATGCTGTTTTACAAGATGTGGTATCTGGAAAGGATCGCACCTGACAAAGCTTCCGACACCTTCGTTAATTGATTTCAGATCAATAGTGGTGACAAAGAGAGTGCTTGTGTAGAAAGGGAGCCCTCACTTTTTCGACATAACCGTCCTACCCAAGGTGGGTCCCTGGCCTGGCATCTCAGGCCCAGCAGGGCATGAGTGGGCCCCTGCCCGCTTGTACCCCTAGGAGTTATCTGTTCTCCTGCCTCCTGCACTTCCCAGCCCTCGGCAGGTCCCACGAGGGTCTGAAGCCGGGGGTGCTGGAAGGCCCACGCCCCAGCTGCCCCTGACCCTGGTGAGTAAGGCTCAGTAGAGGAAGCAGGGGAAGGCCTGGGCTCTCCACTACTCTTGGCCATCCTCAGCTGACCCTGGCTTCTCCTGGTTGACACCAGGGGAGTTTCTGATCTCTCCCGTGGAAGGGGTGCTGCGGGTCCGGAAGGATGTGGAGCTGGACCGGGAGACCATTGCCTTCTACAACCTGACCATCTGTGCTCGAGACAGGGGGGTTCCCCCGCTCAGCTCCACGGTGAGTCTGGGGGCCCCATTCCACTGGCTTCACCTCCCTGCCCCCTGAACTCTCCATAGAGACTCCTATAAACGCTGCCACCTTCGTGCCCATAGCAACCTCAGGCTGCTCTGAAGCCAGTCCAGGCCCTCAGGGCCCCTACCAGACCTGCAAGTGCCTCGTGAGGCTCACCCGTGGAGGCTGGACCTGGCGCCTGGCAGCCTCCCTGGGGAGGCTGTGCTGTCAGCCAGGCCTCTGCACCTGTCACTCTGCCATTTCCAGCCTGCCTCTGCCTCTATTTTTCCTCCTTCCCTCTTATCCTCGTTTTCATCCTCTTGCCTTTTTTGTTATCATTTTCTTGGGCTTCCTCTTTCTTGCCCACGACAAGCTGCACCTTTCCTTCCTCCGTTACCACCGCTTTGCTGTCCCGCTCCACCTGCCTCCTTGCCTCTTCCTCGGCCGCCAGGTCCACCATCCCGTTCTCTGCCTCCCCTCTCTCCTCCATCTCCCCCGCGCCCGCTTTTCTCCTGGTCCTTCTCCTTCACTTCCTCCTCTTCCCTGACGTGCCCCAGATGCTGGTGGGGATCCGGGTGCTGGACATCAACGACAACGACCCCGTGCTGCTGAACCTACCCATGAACATCACCATCAGCGAGAACATCCCCGTCTCCAGCTTCGTCACCCGTATCCTGGCCAGCGACGCTGACAGCGGGTGCAACGCCCTCCTCACCTTCAACATCACCGCGGGCAACCGAGAGCGGGCCTTCTCCATCAACGCCACGGTAGGGCTGGGTCTGACCCCAGGGAAGCCCCCAGGATTTTTCCTAAAAAACAGGACCCTGCCCCAGGGGCTTTTCTACTCTGCTGTCTGGGCTTCTGTTGGTTCCACTTCCTCCTCAAGTCTCTACCCTGCACTGGGATGTGGGGTCTCTGTGGGAAGCATGGAATCTAGAATTCCTAGGGGAGCCACTTCTGGGGTCCCTGTCACCCCAAGGCTTGTCGTGTGCAGGGATGGGACCAGAGCTTCGGTACCACTTGGTTTGTACCAAGATGCACAAGAAGTCCTCGCTCGACCTCTTGGAGTATTACCGGCTGCTGTCACCGTGGGGTCCTCAGAGGGACCGTCCCTTTCAGGCAGCAAGACCTGGGCATTGGTGGGTCGCTCTTGCTCTGGCAAGGCCCTGCTGGTCCATTTTGGTCCTCCTAGACCGTATCTTTGGTGATTTAGGGAGATCATTCACGGCCATTCCTACAGGCGGAGCAGTTGGGCCTCCGTGGGCCAGAGCCCAAAGTAGGGGACAGGTCATTGCTCAGCTCACCAGCCTCTACATCCCAGACAGGGATCGTCACTGTGAACCGGCCCCTGGACCGCGAGCGGATCCCGGAATACAAGCTGACCATTTCCGTGAAGGACAACCCGGAGAATCCGCGCATAGCCAGGAGGGTAAGGCTGGAGGGCGCAGTGGGGAGCAGGGCCGGTGCTGGATGCACCCAGGCGGCACGGCCCGCGGGTTAGAGGCACAGGTTTTGGAGTAAGCGAGGGCTGGGTTCAAATCCCACTTCTGCCTGTCAGTGGGTGTGTGGCTTTGGCAAGTTGTTGTCTCCCAGCCTCCACTTTCTCTTCTGCCAAATGGAGACATACCTACCCCAGAATCGTGGAGAGGACTTGAAGGAGCCCATGTCTGTCAAGTCCTCGGCACAGTGCCTGGCATATGGCAAACGCTCAGTAAATACCAGCTATCGTCTCTTCTCCCCAAACCACAGATACTTGGGCACACACGACAGCAGTGTCAGGGGTGGCAGTCGGGGGGACACACGTACACAAGCACGTACTCTGGGGTTCTGAAAGGGTTGCGTTTTCCAGGTGGCTTTTCCCTCAAAAGCCAAAAGGTTGGCTCTCTTTACTAAGAGGAAGTGGGTATTGCAAAGCAAACAGTCCATTTGGGGGTAGGAATCAGCCCTCTTCCCAGCCCATGAGATGAGCCTAGGTCTGGCTCATCTCAGCTCTGCTTCTGACTAGTTGTATGGCTCAGCCCTTTCCGGGCCTCAGTTTCTGCATCTGTACAGGCCGAGGAGACTTCGGGCTGGAGGTGCAGGCCGCTGGCGTCTCTCATCCCGTGCTCCTCGCCTTCCTTCCTTCTCTCACGTCCTCCCTCCTTCTTTTCTCTCCCTCTGTCACTCCCCCGCCTCTGCCTGTCCTTTAGGAGGGCCTGGGTCATCCTGGAAAGCAGCAGCATTGGGTGGTGGGAACCCGGAAGCTTGGAGGCTGGTTGCCACTCTGCTGCTAACTTACCACGCGGCAGTGAATAGTCAGCCCCTCTCTGGGCCTCGGGTCCCCCACCTCTGCAATGGAGAAGCATCCGGGGCACTGGGAGGTTCTAAGAGATAGGATAACTGTGGTTTTTGAAAGGGATGAAGTGCAGCACTGAGTGGAAGTTTGGATGAACTCTGACCAGGGCACCAGGCCAGCCAAGAGGGTCTGGAAGCTAAGACTCATCTTCCTGGCTACAGTCCTTCCTTACCACGAGATGGAGCATGATTGAGTACCATCCACCTCCCTTCCCCTGTGAACTTCACAACATCTCTGCGAGGGACTTAATATCCCCATTTGTCAGATTGGAAAACTGGGGCTCAGATAGAGGGAAAGATTTGCCCAAGACCACCCTGTGAGCTACTAGCAGAGCAGAGGCTTGAACCACAGGTCTCCGGACCCGTGGCGGGGGCTTTTCTATCATCTACCTCTCTGCTTTGACCCCCGCCCTCCTTCCAAGTCCTTCTCCCACTGGAGCGCTTTGCTAGAACGTGGCCCACAACCTGTCCCCCCGCCGTCATGCCTCCCACAGGATTTTGACTTTCTGCTGATCTTTCTTGCGGATGAGAACGACAACCACCCCATCTTTACTGAGAGCACCTACCTGGCGGAGGTGATGGAGAATTCTCCTGCTGGTAGGTGCTGGGCCCACCTGGGGACTCCTGCTGCTTCCAGGCACCCCCTGGGCCCCAGATGCCTGAGGACCTCCCTTGTGCCTGGTGGAGGCCCAGCTGAGGCCTGGCTGAACACAGACCTGGCAAGTGCAGAAGGGTGTGGAGGGGAGAAAGAGGCACAGCTCCGAAGGGCTGGTGGGGCAGGGCTGCCAGGCCTCTTAGGGGCCACCAAAGAGGCCACAGGTCAGGTTGGATGTGGTCATTGGTCTCCAAGGCTGTCTGAGAACAGCCCCACTGCCCCTCCTCGAGGGGAGTTAAGGTGTAAGGACTACCCAGGAGGGGAATAAGCCTACTCCTCCCTGCTCCCTCCACTCCAGGAGCACAGGGCCCCCTAGAGGCTTCTGAAAGCTCAGGGAGCATCTGTAATCACAGGTGGGGTGCCGGGGCCCCTCATAGGTCAGTGTGGCCCTTTCCCCACACGCATGCGCTGACCAGCCTCACCTCCCTTCCAAGGGACAGAATCTCCTCTTCACTGTCTCCCCAGGGGAGCCCCTCACTCCTCCTCCAGCCTCCCCCGTAGCTTGGATTCTAAGTCGGAAAGGGATGAGCTGAGATACTCCTTGTCTCTGGCTGGGTGTCTCCCCTGAAGGAATTTGAAACTGCCTGTGCATATGCTCACATGTGTGCAGTGCACATCCACGTAAGGCATATGTGTGGGCTTACACATCTGCACAGTGCACTCCGTGTGCAAATATGCCCACCTGCAGAGGCAGACAAGTGCACAACCTGGGGACTCCCAGGCCTGCAAGTGCTACAGCGTGAGTGCTCGTGGCCGTGTGAACACGGAGTCCTGCACACACACATGGGTTCCTAGCCATGTATAGTCGGACAGCTGTTAGAGCATTGTGGACACACATGCGTGGACAGGCTGGGCTGGGGGTGCATACCTAGCCAGGGCCCCCACATAGTGAGGGGACATCAGGGAGCCCCCAGACCCTCCCTCGGAGTGGCCAGCCTCAAAGGCTGCTGGGAAGGCAGGCGTGCTCCGGGCGGGCCGGAGGGGCTTGTTCACCACTGTTGTGTTTTCTCCCCAGCAGGGCTTTGAGGCCGCTCCCCAGGCGTCTGCGTCAGTCTGCCAAGGCTGCCGCAGCCCGGCCCAGGGTCTCCCACCCCGTCCACTTCACCTCCCTCCCTCCCTCTCATCCATCGTCAGCCATGGCTCACCGGGACTGGGGGGGGGGAGGGGGAGAGGCGGGCAGGGGGCCGGGTCGGCCCTGCAGTGACCCATCTCCCCCGGCCCAGGGACCCCGCTGACGGTGCTCAATGGGCCCATCCTGGCCCTGGACGCAGACCTGGATGTCTACGCCGTGGTGACCTACCAGCTGCTGGGTGCCCAGAGCGGGCTCTTTGATATTGACAACAGCACCGGTGAGGCCTCTGCGCCACCCCAGCTCTCCCGTCCTGGCTCTGGGTACTCCTGCTAGGGTGACCCCACTGCTAGATCTAGGCTCTCCATAGAGACCCCATTCCTCACAATCCCCATCTTACAGCTGGGTTAGGCCACCCGGGGGCCGGGTAGGAGGAACCAGGAAGACACTTGGGGTCAACAGAAGGGACCTGCTGGTGCATAAGCTCTCAGGCTCGGCAGAGAGCATCCCCAAACCCACTCCCCCATCTCCCCTTCCCCAGCCCGGAGAATGGGGCTCCTCGTCTGCCAGAGGAAGCCAACGGTCTGTCCTCAAACCAGACCCAAAGCTCCCCAGACAGAGACTGTGTTACATCAGTCTGGTCCTGGCCGATTGAGTAACAGGTGACAAGGAGGGATATACTAGCACCTCTCTCAACAGAGCTGGTCAATCCTCCAGCCTGGGTCATTCATCCCAGGAGGGACTCGGGAGAATTGCAGAGGGCACCTGCGGAAGGGACAGGCACGGAACACTGGCACCTACGGGACCTCCCTAAACAATGGTTGTTGAGCCTTTGGGGAAGAAAGTCATTGGGTTGCCTTTTCTGCTCCTCTTTCACATCGGTCCCCATCAAGCCTTATCTTTCTCTGTCCCCTCCCTGTTGGTTCTCACCCGGTCTCCCACTGCATCTCTTTTCCTTTGTATCTCCCCGGCTGGTGGCGCTGGGTGCCAGGCGTGGTGACGGTGAGGTCAGGTGTCACCATTGACCGGGAGGCCTTCTCACCTCCCGTCCTGGAGCTACTGCTGCTGGCTGAGGACATTGGGCTGCTCAACGGCACAGCCGACCTGATCGTCACCATCCTGGATGACAATGACAACTGGCCTACCTTTAGCCCTGCCGCCCTCACCGTCCACCTGCTGGAGAACTGCCCACCAGGTACGCAGGGGCAGGCCCCAGGCCCCAGCCCCCAGGCAGGAGCTGGCTGGTGGTCTGTGGGGATTGGAGGCAGAAGTCACGTCCAGCGGGGAGAAGGATGGGCAGCAGGGTGGGTGGAGAGGGAGTCAGGAGACCCAAGTGCCCCTCACCTCCCTTCTCGGACCCACAGCGTCTTGTCTGCAAAATGAGATTATTAAGGTATGTTCCGTCCGTGTTACTGGATGGAAGAACTGACTGTTTTAAAATCAAAATAGGATTAACATGATTCCCATCAAAATCAAACATGATTGGGGAGATAAATTTGATTCTAATGGTCATCTGGAAGAAAAAGGACATTTTGAAAAATAAGTATAATAAAGCCAGATTTGTCTTACCAGATATTTATAACATATTACCAAACTACAGTATTTAAAACCACGTGATATGAACACAAGACTCTGGGGCAAAGTAGGCCAGCAACAGATACCGGTAAATTATAAGGAATGTAATATGCGATAAAGGAAACAATGAAACCAATAGTGAAAACTATTTCGTGTGCAAAACATCTCTTCTTATTTAGTCTAGATTCTCACCCCATATCAGACACCAAAAAGAAACCCAAAGACATCCTAAAGGAGCTGTAAAAGAGTATAAAACATTAAAAAATAAAAGAAGACACTTCGGGTGACTATTTATCTGATTTCGGGATAAGAAGGTTCTAAACATATAAGAAACAGAAGAACGTCAAAAAGGAAAAATACTAAATTTTGGTGCATATGAATTTTAAACTTCTTTACATCATTTAATTATAACCAGTATCGAAAGGCAAACAACAAACTGAAAAAAAAAAAGGTATTTGTCACAAGTTATCATAATTATACAATTTATATAAATGGACAAAAATGGGCAAAGGACAAAGGCCAACACTTTGCAGAAGAGAAGATGCAACTAATCATTAAATTATTAAAAACTGTTCGGTCTCACAAATAATCAAAGAATGCAAAATAAAATAGGATACCATTTTCCTAGAAAATTGCAAACATGCAAAAGGCATAAAAGATAGATACTTATTTAGAAAATCAAAATAGACTCACAGATTTTGAAATCAAATTTGTGGTTACCAAAGGGGAAAGCGGGGGTGGGGAGGGATAAATTAGGAGTTTGGGATTAACAGATGCACACCACTATGTAAAACAGACAAACAACAAGGACCTATATTCAATATCCTGTAATAACCTATGATGTAAAAGAATCTGCAAAAGAATATATATACATATACGTATCTCGAAATATATATCTGAATCACTTTGCTGTACACCTGAAACTAACACAACATTGTAAATCAACTATACTTCAATTAAAAATAAATAAATTTAAAAATAAAGTAGGCTTTATATATAACAATAAAAACAAAGGTAGATGCTGGCAAGGCTACGGTGGGAAGAGGCCCTTGTGAACCACCAAGAAAAGTATCTCGGTGTGGTGTTTTTAGAAGAAGCCACTGTGCTCAGCTGCTCCCCATTCCCACCCCCACAGGATTCTCAGTCCTTCAGGTCACAGCCACAGATGAGGACAGTGGCCTCAATGCGGAGCTCGTCTACCGAATAGAAGCTGGGGCTCAGGACCGCTTCACCATCCACCCAGCGACTGGTGTCATACGTGTCGGCAATGTCACCATTGACAGGGAGGAGCAGGAATCCTATAGGCTGACAGTGGTGGCCACCGACCGGGGCACCATCCCTCTCTCGGGCACAGCCATCATCACTATCCTTATCGATGACATCAATGACTCCCGCCCTGAGTTCCTCAACCCCATCCAGACGGTGAGCGTGCTGGAGTCAGCTGAGCCAGGCACGGTCATTGCCAACGTCACCGCCATCGACCGTGACCTCAACCCTAAGCTGACGTACCACATCATCAGCATCATGGCCAAGGATGACACTGACCGCCTGGTGCCCGACCAGGAGGACGCCTTTGCCGTGAATATCAACACAGGTACAAGGGCCTGCTCCCCTCCAGCCTTCCTCCTGACTCCCTGCCCCAGCCTCCTGGCTCTCTGCTTTCTCCCTTACCCTCCTTCTATCGGTTCTCTTGCTCTGTTCCTCCCTTTCCCTCAGCTGCTCCTTCCTCCTCTCGTTTCCCCACTATTGACAGCACATCCTTCCCTCTCTCTGCCGTCTCTCCCCTGGCTCCTTCCCTCTCTGCCTTCTCTTCTTCCTTCTCCCTTGACCAGCTCCCTCTCTGTCTGCTTCTCTTACTCTACTAGTATTATATGAGAGTGCCCATGTCACCGCACTCTTGACGGCATTAGATATTACACAGTTTTCGTGTTTGTAATTTCATAGGTAAATGGCATCTTGTTTTTTTGTTTTTGTTTTTGTTTTTTGCGGTACGCGGGCCTCTCACTGCTGTGGCCTCTCCCGTTGCGGAACACAGGCTCCGGACGCGCAGGCTCAGTGGCCATGGCTCACGGGCCCAGCCGCTCCGTGGCATGTGGAATATTCCCGGACCGGGGCACGAACCCATGTCCCCTGCATCGGCAGGCGGACTCTCAACCGCTGCGCCACCAGGGAAGCCCCGGCATCTTGTTTTAATATGCATTTCTTTAATAACCGGGTGGTTGAACACTTTCTTCATATATATCCGGGCCATTTAAGTTGTCTCTAAGTTTCATATATATGTATATAATACAGAAAAATATATATGATATACATACACACATACATATTTCTATATTACATATGTGTGTGTATACCCTTAATGATTTTCTTACACTATCACAAAACAAAGTGAACTGTGGCTTATCTTTCATGACTTACGCAGCTTATTATAATTTTGATGGTTTTACCATTTTTCCAAAAGTTCAGTGTTTTTGCTCCTTTGGGGAGTTAAGGAGGGGACATGGGACAAACTTACAGGTGTCTTCTTGGAAGGCCCAGAGGAGTGGCAGAAAAACTAACATGGTTATGAAAAAAGGCTAAAAATCATTGTTATTCAGAGAAATGCATAGTGAAACATCAGTGAGATATTGGTTTTCCGTATGTGATTAGCAGACATTAGGATGTGGGACAGTATTGAGTATTGGTGACAATGTGGGGACATCCTATGCTGCTGTAGGAATTTTGACTAATTTCACATCTAGACGGCAATCCAACACAAAGTACACTCATACCCCGTGACCCAGCAATCCTGTTCCTGGGTATACGTGACAAGGAAACACTCAGGTCGATAATGGGACTATCTGAGGATGTTCACTGCAGTGTTACTGGTGACAGGAACTTGGAGGCAACCAAGGCATCCATCCCTGGGATGTTGGAGAGTAAAATGTGGTGGGTGCACATCATGGGATACCAGGAAGCTGTTAGGAGCAACAGATGAGACGCACACAGAGAAACATGGGTAGACCTTAAAAACAAGTGCTTACGGAAAAGAGTAAGAAATAGAATGGATTATATATACCAGAATCCCATCGCATAAATGTAAAATACATACACAAAAACAATACATGATTTTCGGGAACACCTTCAAATAAAAAATACACTTTAATACGTTGCCCAAGGGGAGAGGAGTAGGAGAATAAAAGGGAATAGATACATACATAAAACAAGAACAGTGCCCGTGACCATAGTGTGCAGTGAACCAGAGAGTATGATTAACTCAGTATGCCTCTGAGGAAAAAGGAAAAAGGAAGACAGGAAAACCATGAGCCACTAGGAGGAATTAGGTAGCTTAGTCATGTGTCAGGTTAGCAAAATTCCTGCTGCAGTGGTTTCTCAGGACCATGGAGAGCTACTCCATGACCCAGCCCAACTTTATGCTGTACTGTTGCCCATTTTTTTCTGTCCTCCCTCCCTCCGACTGACTCTGTTCTCTTCTGTTTTCCTTTCCAGTGTCTTCTCTGCCCCTCTTCCTCATGCTCTCCCCCTCCCTTGCTCACCTCTCTCTCCTTTCTTCCTGCCAGAGCCTCAGCCCTCTGAGTGTGCCTCTCCAACTGGGTTCCCACTTGCTCCGCTGGCTTCCTGCCCCTCTGCCTCTTCCCGTCCGTCCACCCCATCCCTCCCAAACCTCCAGCCCTGGTCAGCTCTGAGCCCTTCCATCCCCCACGCCCTACTCTGCTCCCTCCCCTCTGCACCCTGAACTAACTGACGTTGACCCTCTTCTCTCTTCCTCACGGCTGGCAGGCCCACAGGTTTGAGCTCTGATTCTCTGTCACCTCCCACCTCATCTCTTCTCTGCTTCACCCCATCGCCTTCCTCCATACTCACCGCACCCCTACCACCCTTCCCACCCCGTGGGGCCTGGGCCAAGGCCGTGGCTCAGCCTTTGCAGACTGAATGCAGCCACCCTCTCCCCATCCTCGCTCCCCAGCCTCGGGGGACGGGGAGCGAGAGTAGGAAGAGGAGGAGGAGGAGGAGGAGGCGGCGGCCCAGGGTAAGTGACTGCCCCCTGGCTGGGGCCCCGAGGAGGACAGGAGCTCAGCAGAGGGATCTGCCAGGGGGACAGGAATCCCAGACACCCCAACGCCTGAGAGGGAGCTAGGAAAAGAGAGAGAGAGGAGGTTTCACCCTAGGATGAGGCCAATGGGAAGAAGAGCCACCAGGCCCTCAAACTGGCAGGAAGAAGAGAGGTCCCAACAGAGCCAGGCTGAGATGGGCAAAACTCGTTCTGTCCAGTTCAAGCCCAAGCCTCTGGAGAGCAGGCAGGGGCTTGGGGAGGCGTTGGGTAGGAGAGAAGGAAACAGCTCCTTGCTAGTACTGCTGTAGGGCGGTGCTCCTTTCACGGTGCCCCAGGCAGCCCAGCCGCGTCATGTCCCACGTAATCAAGACAAAGGGGTGGGCCTTACTGTCTAGGCTGTGGCACCACTGTCCCCTCCAGGGAACCCCCTCAGGGCTTCTTAGCTGCCTTGACCTTCCTTTATGCTTGATCTCCCTAGAATACAAGCATTTTTTAATCTTGATAAAATACATATAAAATTTACCATCATAACCATTTTTAACCATAAGTTCAATGGTTGTGGAATACAAGCATCTTTTTTTTTTTGGCCACGAAGCGTGGAGTCCTAACCACTGGACAGCCAGGGAATTCCAACAAGCGGGGTTTTTTTGTTTGTTTGTTTGTTTGTTTGTTTGTTTGTTTGTGGTATGCGGGCCTCTCACTGTCGTGGCCTCTCCCATTTCGGAGCACAGGCTCCAGACGCGCGCGCAGGCTCAGTGGCCATGGCTCATGGGCCCAGCCGCTCCGCGGCATGTGGGATCTTCCCGGGCCGGGGCCCGAACCCGTGTCCCCTGCATCGGCAGGCGGACTCTCAACCACTGCGCCACCAGGGAAGCCCCCAACAGGCATTTTTTAAACAAGCAATTACATAGCACTTTTTCTAAGTGCCAAGCACTGTTCTAAGCCCTTTACAAATGTAAATTCAGTTAATTGTTATAATCCTCCAAATAGCCCTCTGTGGTAGGTACTGTAATTATCCTCATCTTACAAATGAGGAAACAGAGGTGTAGAGAGGTTAAATAATTGCCCGGCTAGTAAGCGGTGAGTGAGGGGCAGAGTGACGTGCCCCCAGCTTGCAGCCGGCTGTGGTGTCGTCCCAGCCAAAGATGAGACCGGCAAGTCCTGGGTCCTTTGGGGATCATTGCCCTTGGTGGGGATTGGGAGGGTTGGCCAGGAGCACCCCTGGGAGGCCCAGATTTTAGGGGGTTCCCCTTGGGCTGAACCTGACCTGGTCTGGTCTACAGGGTCTGTAATGGTGAAATCCCCCCTGAACCGGGAACTGGTTGCCACCTATGAGGTCACTCTCTCAGTGATTGACAATGCCAGCGACCTACCAGAGCTCTCCGTCAGTGTGCCAAATGGTAAGGCTCCCCACAGGCATCTCCCACATGAGCCCGTAGAGAGACAGGCCCAGAACCGGCACAGGCCTGGCCCCAGTGGGGGAGCAGCGGGACCCAGCTATGGGGCTGCCAGTCGTCAGGCCGCGGGGGGGAGGGGAGGTGGCAGCTACAGTGAGGCTGAGGGAGGCCCTGGGTCCCAGCTGTCAGGCAGAGCTCAGCAGCGGGGGATCCAGAAGCCCAGAATTGTGTGTGATCTTGAACTGCAAAGGCTCAGAGTAGGGAGAAGGCTTGGTAGAGGCTGGAAGGGGACTGAGAAAAGGATGGGTTGACAGAGACTTAGGTTGGAATCCCATTGTCAGAACTGGGAAACAGGTTGTGGTTGGATGTGAGATAGGAACTTCAGGTCTGAAAAGAAGCCACCTGGTCAGGCCAGAGGAAGCAAAGAGCAAGGAAAGGTGAATTGAGGCCACAGACACCACCCTGGCACCACGGCAGAGAAGAGAGGGGCACGCATGCTGCCTTCTGCAGCTGGGCACAGGCCACCCCGCCTGCAGCCTGAGCCCGGACGGGCTGCTTAGAGGCACTGGATTTTGTGTGGGCCAAGCAGGGAGTGGGGAGGAGGGTGTAGGGATGGGGTGGCCTCACGTGGACTCTGCCATGAGACGAGGACAGCTGCTGGGGTGGGGAGATAGGCCTGGCAGATACTGGCTTATCTTTACAGCCCAGAGGCCCAAGTTTTCAGGAAGGAAGGGCAGACCTGGTCTTCTCCTGTGGGTTGGCCAAAAAGTTCATTCAGGCTTTTCCATGGCATCGTACAGAAAAACCCGAACGAACTTTTTGGCCAACCCAATACTTGTCCCAGGCTCAGAGAGGCAAAGGGCCCAGGCTGGTTATATAGAGGGAACAACTCAGAGAGGAAACAAAAGGCTGAATCATGAAAAGGGTCTTAAAGATCATCTTAGTCCCGTCTCATGGGACAGGTTAGGAAACCGAGGCACAGCGAAGGCCAGGGGTTCCACCAGGGTTACCCAGCCAGTTGGCAGAACCCGAGCCCCTTTCCCAATGGAAGAGTGAGTGACCACACCGGAGGCGAGGGTCACGTGCCATGCCACCACCTGAGGCTTGGGGCAAGCTTTAGGGAGCCCCAGGAGGACTGTGAGATGCTGCCATCCCCTCTGGGTTTGGTTGAGACTTAGGAAGGCCTGGCCCAGCCACACTGGGGCCCATTCATGCCACCCTCACCCCCTGCCTCCACCCCAGCCAAGCTGACGGTCAACATCCTGGACGTCAACGATAACACGCCCCAATTCAAGCCCTTCGGGATCACCTACTACACGGAGAGGGTCCTGGAGGGGGCCACCCCAGGCACCACGCTCATCGCCGTGGCAGCCGTGGACCCCGACAAGGGCCTCAATGGGCTGATCACCTACAGCCTGCTGGACCTGATACCCCCGGGCTATGTCCAGCTGGAAGACTCCTCAGCAGGTAGGTGGGAAATCCGCCAGAGGAGGGTTGGGGAACGTGTCTGTGCCTGCTTAGCCCCCGAGAGGGACCATGGCTCGCTTCTCACCCTCCAGTTGGGGCCCCTCAGCGGGCTAGGCCAGATCCAGTACGGCTAACATTCTAGTCACTCCCAGATGCCCGAACTACAGGCAAGGACAGAGTGCCTAGCTCTGGGTCGGCATGGAAGCCCCTCTCGGTGTCTGCTGGAAACCCGGAATACTCCATCACCCTCTCTACCATCCAACCTCCACAGTTAGTATCACTCAGGGGGCAAGAAGCCCAAGAGGGAATTGTCCCAGGGGAGGTCCTCAGCGTGTTAGTGTACATGCCTTTGACTTGTGAATAGGAGAACAGCTGGATGCCAGTGATTCTCGGCCCTCTGGCCTGGGCAGTGCTGCCTGGCTATCCTCCTCCTTCAAGGGACCACACTCGTCCCTCAGAGCCCCAGATCCCTCTCTTCATACTTCAGAGAGCTTCCACGAGTGAGGGGTGGCCAAGAGGGCAGTGGGTGTCTCTGTGCCTCAGGCAAAGTCATTGCCAATCGGACGGTGGACTATGAGGAAGTGCACTGGCTCAACTTTACCGTGAGGGCCTCAGACAATGGGTCCCCACCCCGGGCAGCTGAGATTCCTGTCTACCTGGAGATTGTGGACATCAATGACAACAACCCCATCTTTGACCAACTCTCCTACCAGGTGGGTGGCCAGGCCAACAAATTGGGTCTGGGGCCTGCATCCGTTCCTTGGCACCTTTGGGCATCTCCCACTCCCACCCTGCCAGCCTTTAAGTCCCGTGGGAATGACCACCCATGAGTAGCTTGATGCCCTGGGTTGTCTGCATCAGTGAGTTTCTCGGGCAAGGGCTGAGACTCTAGGACTGACCATGGCCCATGCTTTCTCCCTGCCCACTGGGCTCCAGGGAGCCATCTTTGAGGATGCTCCTGTGGGCACAGTCATCCTGAGAGTCACTGCTACTGATGCCGACTCAGGCAACTTCGCCCTCATTGAGTACAGCCTTGTGGACGGCGAGGGCAAGTTTGCTATCAACCCCGACACAGTGAGTGGGCAACGGAGGGCCTGGGTTTGGGGAGTGGGGAGTGGGAAGTGGGAAGGGCCCAGGGTCACAGGCTGAGAAGCCACCAAAAGTATTACAGTCATCCCCCTGTTTCTGGGTCCTGCCACCTGGACATCTATAGCCTCAGAGGTCTTTCAGCCAAGTGGGCAAGCCCTGGTCTCAGAGTCCCAGACATCCTGTAGACTGCGGCCTTTCTGTCCCAGGAGACATGGGAGGAAGTGGCCAAAGTCTTTTGGAACTAGCCCCTTGTGGGACAAAAACTGAGCTGTGTCTGCACCAGACCGGAAGACTTGATTCAAGTCCATGCGACTGCTTTTTGAAACTGTCAAAAATAGGAAGCTCTGCGGAAAGTGGGCGCAGTATTTGAGCACCTACTGTATACATGGCCCCATCCTCAGTGCTGGGAGAGGGAAGAAGCACCCATGGACATAGCCCCCATGCTCCCATGGGTCTCAGACTTGTAGGAATGCAGAAGTTCAAGAGAAAAATGGGTGATGATTTTAAATGTCGGCAAATTGGTTCAAAGTTGCTCTTGCAGTACAGCGAGAGAGCCCTGTGGCCTGGGGGTGGCTGGCCAGGCAGGGCCTTCCCCAGCTGTGGGGCTGGAGCTGGACTTTCCCTCCCACCGCCTGCCCACATCCCCCTGCACTCTGCCCTTTCAGCAGGGTTGCTCTCCTTCCTCTTGGTGTGAACAATAAAACACACTCCTGGCCTGGCACCATGAACAGTGAATACTTATGGAGTACTACTTTGTACCTGGCCAGGTAGTGAGCTCCAGCCTGGGCCATTCATCCCATCTCCAGGTGAACTGGGGTAGTAAGGACAAGAAGAACCACTAGAATGAGAGCTGCACGGGGCACAGGGGCTGTGGTCTCTTCAGTGCTATAGCTCCAGAGCCCAGAACAGTGACTGCACATAGCAGATGCTCAATAAATACCTGTTGAATTGAGGAAGGACCTGACTCCACCCTCCCCCTACTAGGGTGACATCTATGTTCTGTCCTCTCTGGACCGGGAGAAGAAGGCTCACTACATCCTGACTGCCTTGGCCAAAGATAACCCTGGAGATGTAGCCAGCAACCGTCGAGAAAATTCGGTGCAGGTGAGGGACCCTTGCGTGGAGCAGAGACACTAAGGACTGCCATTGTGGAGGCAGTAGGCAAAGCCTTTAGAGCATGGCTGCTGCAGGGCAGGAACAGAACCACCCTGGCCCCTCAAGAGGTGCGGTGGCAGGAAGGAGAGGCAAGAGCTTAGCTGGGGGTTCACGATGGCTGTGGCTCAGGGAGACGGGGCCTCTGTAGGAGAAACTTCTTGTGTCAGACCCCTGCTAAGGCAGCTAAACATACCTGGGTGTAACCCAAATAAAGGCTGGGGCTCCACGTGGCCCGGTGTCTCCATGCTGTCCCATTGAAAGAAACACAGTCCAGCAACCAAACATAATTACAAAGCATTTATCTTTATGTCTCTTAACATTAATGAGGAACTTTGGTCTTCAGAACAGTGAGAGAATAAATTCCTTATTTTAGGCCAAAAAAAAAAAAAAAGAACATTAATGAGGGATCAAATTCACAACCCCATTTCCATTCCGGGTCTACTGTCCACACAGTTGCTCTGGGGAGGCCAGCATCCCACCTTTAGGCTCTGTCCCCATTTCCATCCAGAGTCCCACACCTCAAGACTTTGCTTTCTCTTTCTTTCTCCCCCTTCTTTCTGCCCTTTCCAGTCCTGTCTTTCTGTATTCAGTTCTTCCAATTCTCAGCAATAACCTAACCATCCAAAGAAAAGTCTCCTGAAGGGTGGGGAGGTGAGAAGCTGGGTGGGCAAAGAAGAATTCTCTTTGGCAGGTAGGCAACCGAGCTGGGAGCGCTCGCACATACCTGCATTCTGTCCTGTCACAGAGGCACGTGCTATATTGGGAAGAGCACAGTATTTGTAGTCAGAAGCCTGAGGTTCCACTAGCTGAGTACACTGCATTTGTCATGTAACCTCTCCGAGCCTCGGTTGTCAAAGCTGCAGGGAGTGGAGGGCAGGGGCAGTGACGATGATGCCTCCCTCCCAGCCTGGCGGTGAGTCCAGGAGATGCGAGGTGGGAAAGCGCTTTGTGCCCTGAAAGGGGTTCTTAAAATCATAGCTGTGAAGGGCTCTGTTACGGATGCAGTCAGGCAGGGCCACAGCAGCCAGGGAGAAAGGGCCTCCTGGTGTATCCACAGGACCTGCCCTGGGCTCTGGGGTCAGCAGACAGAGCCCAGTCCCAGGCCAGACACAAATCCCAGTCAAGAGGGGCGTCCAGAAAGTAGAGTCAGATATATGGGGCCACTGTGGGAAGGAACAGAGGACAGAGTAGGAGCTATGTGGGGAGGAGTCCCCGCTTCAGGACCCAGACACAGATGACCTGTTAACCACGGTACGAGTTGCTGAGCATTTACTCAGGCCAGGGACTGCGCATAGACCATCACGGACAAGCCTCACAAGCCCCTGAGAGAGAAAATCCTATTGTCCCCAACGTACACCTAAGGAAACTGAGGGTCAGGGGGTTAAATCCATAGTGTGGGGTCAGACTAAACAGTGGGCACTGTCCACCTCGGCTTAATCCTGTGTGACCGGGTCACCGGAAGCAGCCCCCAATGTGCTCCTGACCTTTGAGCTCACCCTCCCCTCCAGGTGGTAATCCAGGTGTTGGACATCAATGACTGCCGGCCACAGTTCTCCAAGCCCCAGTTCAGCACGAGCGTGTATGAGAATGAGCCAGCGGGCACCTCCGTCATCACCATGATGGCCACCGACCAGGATGAGGGCTCCAATGCGGAGCTGGCCTACTCCCTCGAGGGCCCGGGCGTGGGTACGTAGCCTGCTCCCCACCAAGGATGCCTTAGGGGGTGGGAGGGGCAGGCTGCCTTCCTGCAGCCCCAGGCCAGGCGTAATAGGAGCAAGGATGGGAAGGAGGTCTCAGTTGGAGCCATGCCCTGCTCTCCTGCCCCCACCTGCCAGAGGCCTTCCACGTGGACATGGACTCGGGCCTGGTGACCACAAAGCGGCCACTGAAGTCCTACGAGAGGTTCAACCTGACCGTGGTGGCCACGGATGGCGGACAGCCCCCACTCTGGGGCACCGCCATGCTCCTGGTGGAGGTCATCGACGTCAACGACAACCGCCCCGTCTTCGTGCGCCCACCCAATGGCACCATCCTCCACATCAAAGAGGTACTGCTGACCCCCGGGGCCTCCTGCTACCTACACCCCCTTCCAGTATTCAGCCCGCTTCTCCATCCTGCAGTCATCCTGCAGCCTGAGAGGGTAAAGGGGCCCCCACTGCAAAAGCAGGGAAACTGAGGCCAGAGTAGGGAACGGGCCAGCTCAGTGCCACACAGGGCAGTATTGAACAGTCGTTAGTAAGAAGGGCTGGGCCAGCAAAGGCTCTTGGATTCACATCAGACTCTATCGCTTACCAGCCAAATGACCTTGAGCAAGTGACTTCTCTGAGTCTGTTTTTTCATCTGCAAAGTGGGACTTATAATAGTAGATGCCCCATCTCTTGCTCCTAAACGTCTGCAAGAAGGACAGTCTCCCCGCAAGTCACTTCCCCTACACTTGTCTCAAAATAAACACATAGCCCCTTCCGTCCGTCTGTTGTTCCTGCTGATACCAGTGTGGAGACAGCCTGGGACTTGAGGATGTGCATCAAAATAAGAAACAAGGGGAAGTGGCTGAGCTTCTGACTACCTCCAATTCTTCTTTCATGCCTTGCTCTCAGTTGTCTTGTAAAGATGGGGAAGTACTCCTTTGACTCCTGCCCTTCCCCTCCTTCCTCTCAGCACCCAAGCCCAAAATGCTCCTTGGTAGAATACTTGGGGTGTCTCCCACTTGTTCTTTGCTCCCCAAACTTCAGCATGTCTCCACATCTCAGAATGTCAGTGTTAAGTCCTTGCTGTCACTCTATCTCCTCTTTGAGGTCCCACAAGAGAAATTTCTCCCAGGGCTGAGCTCTAGGAAACTCTATGCTTTTACCTTGTGATTTGCCCTTTCCTGTGTCTACTGCAATGATGCAGTGGCCCTCTTTGCTTTGCCCACTAGGGAGCTCATAGTGGTCAGCCCACCGTGAATGATGTTGCAGGGACTTAGCACACACGCCTTATCTCCCATCCCTCAGTTTCCATCTTCCTGCCAACCATGGTTTTTCTTTACCCTGATTTTTTTTTTAACTTATTTACTCTTATTGTTGTGTATGCATTCTCGTAAGCTGCCTCAAATCTTTTTTTGTAGCGTGAGGCAGGGTATCAATTAATAATAATCTAGTTCTTTTGCACGCCAAAGCCCCCCCTTTTACTAAGTTTTTTCCCTTCAAGGGGTCCCTATTTTGAAAGGTTCATGTCTTCCAAACAACCAGCATTTGTTAAGGAATTATGTCTGTCATCCCACTTTCTGTCAATTAGATGTGACTGCCATTTGGAGTTTCTGATTGTCGTGATCAATGAGGTAAACAGTGAAACCATGCTGAGCTGATCACTTTTGAACTAAAAGCAAAGAAACTTGTTTTTTTCTTGTGCCCTTGGCAGCCTTTTCATGGGTCAATGTCTGACGTAAATTGGGTTTTTTGATATCTCAGACTTAATTCGAACTCGGGAGGCTGAGGCAGAGAGAGGTGAAGCGACATGTCTAGGTCACGTGGTGATTTAGTAACAGATTAGCATGCACGTGTCCAGTCTCTAGCCACCATGTCATACCATGTCACCCTACCTGCATGCCCCCCATTTTCAGGTACCCCGTTGGGTGGATGGTGTTGTTTGGGGATACCTAGAACTTCTGTGACTGGGGTAGAAGAGAGCAAGACAGACCTGGGAACAGAGGGTGGCTGTGGCCTCAGCTTTGGGATTCCCCTTCTGTCTTCTAAACCTCAGCATGCAGTGAGATCGGAGGGATGGGATAGCCCCCGGAAGGGTGTCGCCCTGAGAGAGTCTGCAGCATGGTGGGTCCCAGGCTGGACTTTCAGTGGGCAGTGGCCTTAGCTGGGGGTGGGGTGAAAGGGATGTTCTAGCAGATGCTCAGACTCCAGGAGAGTCCAGCCAAGCAGACAGGCGTTTCCTAAGGATGCTGAAAGGTGGCGAGGACATTCTGCTAGGGGAGGAGAAAGAACAAGAGCTCCATCGGGTCTGGGAGCTGGGATTCTCTCAAGATGCCCCAGGAGCCTCCCTCCTGTGCCCCCACAGGAGATCCCACTGCGCTCCAACGTGTACGAGGTCTATGCCACAGACGAGGACGAGGGCCTCAATGGGGCCGTGCGCTACAGCTTCCTGAAGACAACAGGCAACCGGGACTGGGAGTACTTCACCATCGACCCAGTCAGTGGGCTCATCCAGACCGCGCAGCGCCTGGACAGAGAGAAGCAGGCAGTGTACAGTGTAAGGGGGTGGGGCATGGCATGAGGGGCGGGGCCAAAGAAGAGACTGCTCTGGGCACAGGACCACAATGTCCCCACCTAGAATGTCTGCGAGGGTAGTGACCTGTCCTCTGGGGATGCCTGCCTGGGGCCCTTCGTCTCTTCCTCTGACTGCACTTCTCCGCCCCCCAGCTCATCCTGGTGGCCAGCGACTTGGGCCAGCCGGTGCCTTATGAGACTATGCAGCCACTGCTGGTGGCCCTGGAGGACATCGATGACAACGAACCCCTCTTCGTGAGGCCTCCGGTGAGCTCACCCATCCCCTGCACTGGTCACCCACACAGGGACTCACCTGCCTGCAAGCACACACTTTCCTGTGCACACTGTGCCGTAGACACACGTGGTTACACGTGGAAACTGCACAGCACTTCACAGAATATTTATTGAGCAGCTACTAGGTCAAGGCATTATCCAGCAGTCAAAAAAGCAGACCAAAAAAAAAAAAAAAGCCAAAAAAGCTGACAAAAATGCCTGACTCGTGGAGCTGATGTTCCCATGTTTGTATACGCACTCACACAAGAAGCCTGAAAATCAGTTCTGCTTTAGCGAGCTGGGGCTGAACCTCTTCATGTGGACTCAGACTCTCTAACTTGGTGGTTTTTTCTTCTTGCGTGCACCTAGGATGTAATGTTCCCTGGAGACCGTGTGCGTGCGTGCGTGTGTGTGTGTGAGAGAGACAGAGAGCACGCTCAAGCTCATGCCCTCCTCATTCAAACATCCATCTAAGTGCTGGGAGACTTCAGAGAATGTGCCAAGCTCAGCCCTGCCCTCATGACGGATGTCACGGGTGACACTCCCTGAGGGCAGAGCTGGAGTGTCTCCAGCCCAGCCCTTGCTCCCTTGAGGTTACAGCAATTTCTCTCGCCCCACAAGGCCTGGGCAAAAAATTCCCTCAGCACCCACAAAAACACTGCCTAGGGCCCTCTGGCAGGAGCCAGGAGCTCAGGCCTTCCCTTGGCCTCCCACGACCTCCCTCTCCCCCTGCAGAAAGGCAGCCCCCAGTACCAGTTGATGACAGTTCCCGAGCACTCACCACGTGGCACCCTCGTGGGCAACGTGACAGGCGCTGTGGACGCAGACGAGGGCCCCAACGCCATCGTGTACTACTTCATCGCAGGTGAGGCCTGACGGGGCTAGTGCCTACCTACCCTGGGGCTGGAGATGACCCAAATATGCCCCCGCCCTGCCCCTCACGCTGTGCCATGGTCCCCCCCTCAGCCGGCGACGAAGAGAAGAACTTCCAGCTGCAGCCCGACGGGCGTCTGCTGGTGCTGCGGGACCTGGACAGGGAGCGCGAAGCTGTCTTCTCCTTCATCGTCAAGGCCTCAAGCAATCGCAGCTGGACGCCTCCCCGTGGGCACTCCCTAGTCCTGGACCTGGTCACTGACCTCACCCTGCAGGAAGTGCGTGTCGTGCTGGAGGACATCAACGACCAGCCACCACGCTTCACCAAGGCTGAGTACACTGCAGGTGCAGGGACAGAGCCTGAGCCTGGGCCTGGGCTGTGGGGTGGCCTCTGCTCTGCCGCTTACACCCGCTTGCCCGTTCCTGCAGGAGTGGCCACCGACGCTAAAATGGGCTCAGAGTTGATCCAAGTGCTGGCCCTGGATGCAGATATTGGCAACAACAGCCTCGTCTTCTACAGCATCCTGGCCATCCACTACTTCCGGGCCTTTGCCAATGACTCTGAGGATGTGGGCCAGGTCTTCACGATGGGTAGGGGCTCCAGCCACTTCATGGACTATCGTCTGGAGGAGATATGGTCTGTAGGGTTACCCCAGGGTATAGGTGGCCGGCCAGCCAACCAGCTGTGTCAGTCCTTCCATTCGCCCACCCATCCATCCTTCAGCCAGCCAGCCAGCCATTATCTGTTCATCCTTTTATTCGTCCACCTATCTTTCGATCTGTTCTCTAATCCACCTATCCATCTCTACACCTACCCACCTTCTTCTCTTCTTCTTCCCATCTCCTCACCCATCCACCCACCCACCCCACTGAACAATCCATCAGTCCACCCACCTATTCATCTATCTGTCCACCCATCCATCCATCCTCTCATTCATCCATCCGCCCATCCATCTACCCATTTGTCCGTCCGTCCGTCCGTCCATCCATCCTCCCATTCTCCTTTCCATAGATCCACCCATCTTTCCATTTGTGCACCTCACCCTCGCCTGCATCAGGCATTGCGCTAGGTAGGCACTGGGGAGCCAGAATTCTCCCCAGCTGTACAAAGCACACTTGCACGTAGAAGTATGCATGTTTGCTTGTGAATCTGCCTGTGTGGACAGCTGAGCGTCTCTTTGTTCGGTTCTAGAAGGTGTTCCAGAAGGTGTCCCAGTGGGTGTCACATTACCATACCTCCAGCTCCAGCCCCTTCCCTGCTCTTCTCTGCCCACAGCAATCAATCCAGCCTCCTTGGCCTGGCTTTCAAAGCTCCCCAGGTCTTCCTCCTAATCCCTCTTTCTGGTTTCACAGCCCCTTACTACCCCTGAGTGCACTGCGCCCACCCAGGCTGACCTGCTCACCATGGCTTCAGCTTGCTCCACACCGTCCTCCCGTGGCCTTCACCTCCTGGAATACCACTCTGACCTCCAACTCTGCCTTCAGATATGCTCCCGCTAGCCACCCTTTGTAGTCTAGTTCATGAGCTGCCACCCCCAGTCACACAACTAGACACCATCCCTTTGTCCTCTGAGTTCGCACTGCTCTTAACCTTAATAAGCATAGAGAGGCTTGCTAAAGGTCACAAAGCTAGAAAGTGGCAGATTTTGAACCCAGGTCTACTGCCTTTTAAGAGCAGACTATGCTGTACCACTGCTGGTCGTCTCTCAGCTGTGGCTGTGGAATTACGAAGCACACGTGTATGTGTAAGAGACAGAGAGGTGAAACTGAGGGAACTCAGAAGTGTTCTGTAGCATCCCAGCATGGGACAGCAGAGTCCCAAACTTGTCCAAGTTGTGTTTTAATATGCAGCACATTTAAATTAAAACTTAGAATTCTCCAGAAAAAGTGCACCACCCCCGGGCTTTCCCTACAGGGAGTGTGGATGGCATCCTGCGCACCTTCGATCTCTTCATGGCCTACAGCCCTGGCTACTTTGTAGTGGACATTGTGGCCCGAGACCTGGCAGGTCACAATGACACAGCCATCATTGGCATCTACATCCTGAGGGATGACCAGCGGGTCAAGATCGTCATTAATGAGATCCCCGACCGTGTGCGTGGCTTCGAGGAGGAGTTCATCCGCCTGCTCTCCAACATCACTGGTGCCATTGTCAACACCGATGACGTGCAGGTACCCCATGGAACCCACCCTGGGTCTAGGGGCAGTGGAGGGAGAAGGGGGACCAGGCCGCAGGGACAGGGCATTGCAGAGAGGTCAGGGGTATGAAGGGGATCAGTCATTTCCTAGATGCATGGCCTTGGGAAAGTCCTTCCGGGTCTCTGGGTCTCAGTTTCCTCATCTGTAAAATGGGAGCTAATAGTAGTGCCTGGTTCAGTGACTGGCATCGAGCTTGGCCCCTGGTGAGCATCCAGTAGGGATGGGTTTACTGGCAGGGTAGGGCAGGAGAGGCTGTTAGAAGAGGCGCCCATCCCATCCCTTGCTCCTGCCACACATCCCATGATGCCCCTTCTCGCCTAGTTCCACGTGGACACGAAGGGTCGGGTGAACTTCGCACAGACAGAGCTGCTTATCCACGTGGTGAACCGCGAAACCAACCGTATCCTGGACGTGGACCGGTGGGTGGGCGTCTGTGCTCAGCCTGTCTTTCGGTCTGCCTCCCTGCCCTGGAAGTCAGAGAGGGGACCCACTAAGGAGGCACGGATGACGCCATCAGGCCTGCTGTATGGGGGCTCTACCCCAGACGTGGGCAGGGCGGGTGGAGAGAACACCGTCTGGGTGTATGAGCAGAGCTCCACCCCCCTGAGCCTTACCCTCTCCATGTGTGAAATGGGAGTATTACAGCAACTGTGAGCAGCAGACAGGAGCTTGTGTGAAGGGATGGTGAACCCTGTAAGATACAGAGCTATCCGAGCTGGGTGCGCCTTAATCTTGCAAGGCTTGATCGGGGGTGAATGTGGGGGCAGGCTGGCCTGAGCGGGACGGGCTCTCGGGGAACGGCCGAGGATGGGAGCTGAGGCCCCTGCCCCTCGCCCAGGGTGATCCAGATGATCGATGAAAACAAGGAGCAGCTGAGGAATCTATTCCGGAACTACAACGTCCTAGACGTGCAGCCCGCCATCTCTATCCAGCTGCCCGAAGACATGTCCGCCCTGCAGGTACCCCTGGTGACACCGCCCCCACCATCCCCTTGTTGCCCCGGGCGCTCTCAGCCACTCATGCTTGGCCCTGCTGCCCTAGATGGCGACCATCGTCCTGGCCCTTCTCCTCTTCCTGGCTGCCATGCTCTTCATCCTCATGAACTGGTACTACAGGACCGTGTGAGTGACCCCTACGTGCCCTGCCTTTTGAGACAGGCTGACCAGCCCCGCTGCTGGGACAGTCGGGGAGGCAGGCAGGGCCATCAGGCCCTGAGACGCCAGCCCAGCCGCAGCCTCCTTCACCGGCCCCTCTGCTTCTTTCCAGACACAAGAGGAAGCTCAAAGCCATCGTGGCTGGCTCGGCAGGTCAGAGGGCTGTGATGGGTGGGGAGGTGGGAGGGCAGGAGGGGCCCCTGAGGGCCTAGGGTGACAGCCCGGGCCCCATAGGGCTGGCTCAGGCCCAGCTCCCCAGCCGGGTCTACCCCTCCCCCCACACCCCAACCCTTCTCCTGCAGGGAATCGCGGCTTCGTTGACATCATGGACATGCCCAACACCAACAAGTTTTCCTTTGACGGGTGAGTGAGAAGTGGTGTCCCTGAACCCGGCCGGGTGCACTTTGGGGAGACCCACCCAGGACCCAGCTGCGGTGAAGCCCCCGCTGCCTCTCAAGCACTGAGGGCATCATGGACTGGCTGAAACCTGGGGTGCGGGCGCCCCCTGCTGGGCCGGGTACCCCTCTCTCTCCACCGAGTTGGGCTCCCCACCCTGACTGGGTCCCAAGTGCCAGGGGGCGTAGGCTTTGGGCATCGGATACAGGGTGAGGACTCTGCACCAAAGCTGATCCAGATGGACACGTTGTCCTGGTTCTAGCAGGATCCTGAGGCGGGAGGACGCACCCACGGGTACCACAGGCAAGGGCCCTGCCTCTCACGGCCCTGAAGGCCCAGTCCTGTGAAAAGCACAACTACGGCCTGGGAAACGGTGGGGGGGTTAGGGGCGAGGCTTCAAGGGCATCTGTCCACTCGAGCCTGGAGTCAACCCCACTCCCCACCTGCAGGGCCAACCCCGTGTGGCTGGATCCTTTCTGCCGGAACCTGGAGCTGGCTGCCCAGGCAGAGCACGAGGATGACCTGCCGGAGAACCTGAGTGAGATCGCCGACCTGTGGAGCAGCCCCACCCGCACCCACGTGAGCCCAGGCCCGGGCCGGGCAGGGATGGGGTGGACAGTCAGGAGGGACAGGTGGAGGTAGCGTACGCTCTTTGCCATCGCTGGCCAAGGAGCTGGCTGGCTGCGGGGGAACCGGTCCACTGCCCTGCACGTGTGCGTGCGCGGTCTACCTCAGCTCCAGCTAACGCGCCCCCTCTCTCCCCAGGGAACTTTTGGGCGTGAACCAGCAGCAGTCAAGCCTGATGATGACCGGTACCTGCGGGCGGCCATCCAGGAGTATGACAACATTGCCAAGCTGGGCCAGATCATTCGGGAGGGGCCCATCAAGGTGAGCCCTCCTCGCAGCTCCTGCACCCAGACCCCTGGCTGAGCTCGGACTTGCTCCAGAGGATGCAGGGAGTGGGGAGGATCCTGGGAAACAGCTTTCTCCACCTCTAGGGACTCAGCTAGACCTGCCCTCCACGGGGGCAAGAACACCAAGGCAGAGAGGGGCGAGGGCCCCGGAGGCCGGGACTCTGAGATACAAGCCCACGTGGGCTCTGTCTGGCCGCCGTCACCAGGCTCTGCTCTCAGTCCTCTACCCTAGGATCAGACGCCTGTACATCCTACACTCCCAGGGTGCCTTCCGTCACCCCCACCCGAGTTAGTTATGCGAGTGAGTGATGGGCGGCGCAGGCGGGGGGGGGGCCTTGGTTGGGGGTTAACGCTTTCCCTCCCCCAGGGCTCGCTGCTGAAGGTGGTCCTGGAGGATTACCTGCGGCTCAAAAAGCTCTTTGCACAGCGGATGGTGCAAAAAGCCTCCTCCTGCCACTCCTCCATCTCCGAGGTAGCGGGTGGGCCGGGAGCTGTGTGCTGTGCCCCAGCCCTGGGGGTGCGCTCTCTCTCTCTCTCTCTCTCTCTCTCTCTCTCTCTCTCTCTCTCGTTCATCCTCCTCGGAGTCTCTGGAGATCAGCAGCTAGGGCCCAAGACTGCACTGGGTGGGGGTTCAGAGAGTCAGACGGCGGGCTCTGCTTCTGCTATCTGGGCTCCACAGTGGGCTTCCCCAGGGGTGGGTGGGTGTTGAGGCAGTGTTTCTTAGACTTCAGGAGCCCCAAGAAGATACCTTTGAGAGGTGATATCATTTTAAGAAATTGGCTGTAGGGTCAAATAGATATACATATTTATTTGCCTGCAGTGATATGTCAACACTTTAGAAAGTCAGACTTTATCTAAAAACCCAGATTTCCAGCTGGGCCAATATTCTCAACTGGAGTAGCTAAAACTGAACAGCTCCACACAGGACAAAAGTGCCACTTGTGAGTCTCTGCTCTACCTTATTAATCCCCTCCAGCTTCAACTGTGGACACTTTCCAGCTGGCCACAGTTAGGAGCTGATCCTGCTTAAGGCCAACGTGGTAACCAATCCAGATGCCACAACCGCAGTCACAGGGTCTTTATAGATCAAAGTGAACACAGGAGATCTGAAAGATTCTCATAGGAAGCCCACGCTCCGGACAACACATCTGTAGCACCAGAAGTATCCACGGCTCCCCTCTGTACCCAGTTTGAGAAACACTGCCACAGGCCGCACAGGCCTGCTGCGGCACGAGCCCAGGGGTCCTCGTGTGCAGCAGGGAGGCAACAGGCCCATAGCAGGTGGGACTCGGGGCCATCCACCTGCTCAGGGCCTGGCCCTGCCCTGAACATGTGCGGGTCCCGGCCTCTTGCAGCTGATCCAGACTGAGCTGGAAGAGGAGCCAGGGGAGCGCAGCCCCGGCCAGGGCAGCCTGCGCTTCTGCCACAAGCCACCTACGGAGCTCAGAGGGCCAGGCGGGATCCACGTGACGCACGGCAGCACGGGCACGCTGCTGGCTACCGACCTCAACAGCCTGCCCGAGGACGACCAGAAGGGCCTGGGCCGCTCGCTGGAGACGCTGACCGCCGCCGAAGCCAGCGCCTTCGAGCGCAACGCCCGCACCGAGTCCGCCAAATCCACGCCCCGGCACAAGCTTCGCGACGTGATCGTGGAGAGCCCCCTGGAGATCACAGAGCTATGACTAGATGGGGGGAGCCCGACGGGTATGAGCAGCCCAACCCCAGCCCTCCCGGGGCGAGAGCAGGGGCAGGACCTCCGGGCGGGGGAGGGCCCTCCCTAGGCAGCTCTGGGCGCGCAGCCTTGGGTCGGCCCAGAAGCAGGGCCCATGTCAGCTGCTCAGATTCCACTTTTGCCAGACGCTCATTCGGCATCTGATCTCTACCGTCATAAAATGTTATTTTTTTAAGAAAACCGAACAGAAATGGTGAGTATCTAAGAACGAGGTAAGGAGGGTCACCAAGAGGCCAAGCTGGCCCTCTTCCCCTCCCACCCCGCCTCACGGCACAGGCGTCCAGCACCGGGGAGGGAGCCCAGAGCAGGCATACCCTGCCTGGCCTTGACTCTCTGACCCCAGTTCAAGTCCCAGTGCATTTCTGCCACATCCCTGGCCGGACATCCAGGTGGGGGCAGTGAGTAATCCCTGCTTCCCCACACAGACATGGTCATTGTCAGCCAACGGCATTCTCCCATTTCACTGGCTTTCCAAACGTGCCGGGCTCATAAAACGACTGATGTTCCCTTGGGTTTTGAATATAGTGTTCGTGTGTATTCCTTTTTTAAATTAAGTTATTCCCTCCATATTCTCCCCTTGGTTTTGTTCAACTGATACGCACTGAACGTTTCTGGAATGGTCTGAATTTAAAAAAACAAAAAGTCACAAGGAACCGGCAATTCACTCTGGCTCTGGTAAACCACCCGTGGGGCTGGGCCGGCGGGTTGCAGGGGTAAGGACAGGGCAGCAGCTCTGGACCCACCTTTGGGGGCACTCCCCTGCCCACTGCTGGCCCCAGGTGTGTCAGGGAGGACCAGATGGCATTTTCTTTCTCTGGCCAAACGGGGCCATAGGACTGCTGGGCACTTACAGGTTCACGGCCTCGGAGCGTATCAGCAGCCACTCTTCTGGCTGAGGTGTCACAGAAACACTCGGCCTCTGGTTGACAGACTTTATTGTTAAATCACAGAAATTTTAGTGCAAAACAAACAAACAAACTCGGTAAGTTCATTTAGTAGCAACTGCGCATCTTGCCGTCTCCTGGCAACTGCAAGTGGAGGAGAGGATGCAGCCAACTGGAGAGAAGGCAGGGCGACGGCTGAGGCCCCAGGCCAGCAGCCCCTCTACCTGGAAGCCAGACGCTTAGGAGCTTGTCATCCACATTTATTCGCAGGTCAGAAAGACCATCTACAGGGAGGGGGAGGTCAGAGGGAAAGACCATCTACGGGGGGGGGGGGTCAGAGGGGAGGGGGCTGTACCGCCCAGAGCAACGGCGGCACTGAGCAGCAGGGTGGACACAAGAGCAGGCATGACGCAGTCACCACTGTCCACACGCACAAAAGCAGGCCCCCCGGGACCTCCACAAAGAGCTAGCAGGTTACATTCATGCAGGTTTTTTCCCCTCCCACCCCAAACCACAGAACTCCAAACACAGCATCAACCGGGAAAGACGAATCAAAGGCTGACCCAACGGTAGCAAGCCCGGCCCCACCAGGTCTCCTGAGCGGCTGCTTCCAGCAGCTCTATTACAGTGAGGACCACATTGTTTGTTTGTTTAAAAAGCCTAATAATTATTCTGAGCCTCTCATCTTTCATATAAAACTGCCTCTGTCTGGCAGTCAGCAGGCCCACGAGGAGGGAAGGTCCCTCCTTAGAGCAGGCCTCCGGAGCCCTCAGCACCCAAGGCCCATCCAGGAGGACGGACAACCTCAGTCAAGAGGCTCTGGCTCATGCCCACGGCCAGAGCCCCGTCTCCTCCGGGTAACCACCACGCAGGGACAGACTCAAGAGACCTCCAGTGTACGGTATGTCGGCATCCATGTAGCAGGGAGGAAAGGGACACTGAAGCAGCTACGCCAGCGGCCTGCTGACAGCAATGCTAAGATGAGGGCGAGAAGAAAGGGACTGAGGGAGAGGGATCCTATCAATCATTTTTATAACAACAAAGCCAACAGATCTGTGTGTTCGTTCCCCCAGACACAAGCAGGAAAAGATGCTGCAGTTTCTCTAAGACAGACCGCGCCTTCTAGTTCCACACGTGACGCTTGCAATGCTCGACAGCCTGACAGGAGAGAGGAAACAGTTTAGTCTGCAGGTGACAAACGCTATCCCTGGCCCATTAGTGCATCAGCCGGCACCCAAAACTGGGACCCGCTATCCTGTCCCAGATCAGCCGGGATGGCACAAGATGCTAATAAAGGCCCGGGACAGCATCTCATTTAAACTCGGGATAGTAGGTGGCTATGAGTTTTGGGGACTCGTACGGCAAGAGTCCAGAGCAGTGGATGAACAGCACCCCTGCAGGTAGGACCCCCTTCCTCTGGTTACACACCTGAGCCCCTGCCTCGAGGCCCCCAAGGCAGAACTCCTCACCCAAGAGTCAGAGGTATACATCAGCTCAGGCCAGCTCAGAAACGGGCCCGGGCACCCAGGAGAGCGACAGAAATGCACTCCACCGGTGGGCCTCACCCTCCTCCCTGCAGCGGCCCTGACGCCGGCTTACCGGTCATGAAGAACCCCCACGAGGAAGTTACACAAAAAGGAACATTAAGTAACAGAGGCTGAGCCGAAACGTCCCCACCCAGGAAAGCAGCATGGGTCACCCCGTAGTGGCTGCCCAGCCAGGAGCCAACTCCCAGGCTGCTCAAGAAGAGCTCCGCTGGGCCCTGGGTGAAGATTCAGGCCGGGCGCCAGCCAGGGCAAGAGTGACCTAAGAGGCGAGGCCTCCTGCAAGAATCCGATGGGCTTTGTGCAATCCCTCGGGTGACCTCGTGCATATCTGACACTGTCACCAGGGGGCTGAAGGTGGAAGCAAAGAACACTGCAGAACATCCACTGCCACCGCTCCCTCCTCAAAGACGACAATGCAGTGAGCCCGGCTTTTGCTGGTGCCCATAAGTAAGCCTAACTGCCCCCCTGGGCCTCAGTCCCCCTCCCCACCAAAGGAGTCTGTTAGAGCAGGTTCTCCCTCGAGCTGCCTGCCTGGCGGGGGTCCTGGGGAGCAGTTGCTGAGCTACTCACGTTGCACAGGGCTGCCGACTCCATGTTCTGGCACCAGTAGCTCGGGCCCCAGACACACTTCTCAGTTCCCAAAAGAGGCTTACGGGCTGGGGGACAGACTCCAATTTTCTATAAGGTCAAAGGAAGGGGGAAGAATTAGGTCTGCCCAGCTAATCCTTTTTCAAAACTGAGATGATTATCAGCTTCCAGAAGCAGCTAGAATCAGAGCTCTAATAAGCACTTTCCAGAAAAGGCAGGGTTACCGAGGCAAGTGGTGGGGCCTGGATGCCTGGTTCTCCCACACACCATGCCCAGACTCTGGCCCCGGCCCCAAACCTCAGAGGAACCCTTCCAGGGTCCATGCAGCACCTCCCAGGTCACACTGCCCAGGAACCCATACCGGCCCAACGCCGCTTACCAGGCACACAAAGGAAGGGTCCAGCACGTCCACCAGGATCTCTATGAGCACGGGCTCGTACTCCGTCACAAACTGATCACACTGTTAGGGAAACAGCAAGGTGGGTCTAGGTGGGCCCAGGCAGAGTGTGGGGCACTGGCCGTGCTCTTCTACCAGAATTCCTGGCCTTGCCAGCCCAGTGGGCCCAGGGCCTCCCTGCCTGCCCGGGTGACACACCTACCCCCACCTGCTCATGTTCTTTTCCCCCTAGTGGCTCCACTTAAGCCAACAGAGCACCTTTAAGAAAATCTCAGCGGACTCCACGCCAGAGGCAGAAATGGCTGCTTCTCCCTCAAAACTTCAACCAGCAGCACACTCAGCGAGCTACCCAGCTCCTGCATGTCCCAAGCAGGGTCTGACATTCTGGCCGAAAGCAGCCCACAGCGTACCTGCTTCTGGTACGGGTCAGGCAAGAGGCTGCAGCCTTTCTCGAAGGCAGCAAGGATCTGCTCCTTCGTGCTGTTCTTCTCCAGGCTGTGCTCCAAATAGGTCACCAGCTTCTTGCACACCTCACAGAAGCCACCGTCCTTCCGCGGCATCACGTGTGCTATGCAAGAGAGCACAGGCTCAGTGCTGGCAAGGCCCTCCCCAACCCGAGAGGGGCCGGCCGGCCTCGCGCGCACTGGGCTCACCGGTCAGCACAGGCAGCCCCCGGCTGGAGCAGAGATGAAGCATACTGCACACCAGCTCAGGGCTCGCCTCCTGCAGGAGGATCGACAGGATGGAGCTGCCATAAGTGTCCACTACCTCCTGGCACTCCTCGGATAAGGACGAGGGCAGCTTCGAGCACACGCTGTCCAAAGCATGAATTATTTCTTCCTGAAACACAAGAAGAAAGGCTCATGTGAGAAGATGGGAGGCTGCGCGGGGTGGGAGAGACTCTGAAAATGCTGATGTGACCAGGGAGCCAACAGCAAGGTGCTGTTTTCTCCCTCAAAGGCTAGACCTACAGAGCAGGGCAAAGAGGCTGCCTCCGGCCCCAGCCCAGAGGGATCCGCTGCTGGGAAGTGGTGGTTCCGACTCCCGGGCTGGTGTCCCATACCCACAAGGGCCAAACCCAGCTCTCGGGCTGGGTCCTCCCACCACGCCATTCTGGCTCCAGGGCCAGGAGCGCTTGCGATGGCAGCATTTCCCGAAATCCCCGTACCTCGGTCCTGTTGTTGTCAATCAGCTTGACCACCTCCTTCACCACGTACTCGCACACCTCACAGTAAATATCAGCCTTCGCGGGGACCGGATCCTTCTGTTGAAAGGGCAGAAGAATACTAACACTGAGGGCCTCGCCTCACTCCTCGGTCCTGCTCCTCTAAAGGAGTGGGGCAGAGGCCAGGACGGGCTAGCGTCACACAAAGGCCACTTCCCGCTGCATTCAGAATGGGGTGTGGCTTCCTCCCAGTGTCCAAGCCCCAGTCCCTGCTGCTCCTAGATGGTGGGAAACCTGTCCCTTTCCCCAATCCTCTACCACCCCCCCAAAACCAGGAACAGAAGCAGTGAAACTGTCCCCCAACCCCAAAGAGCTGTCCATTCAATGTCCGTTTGCTTGCAATCACCTCATCATTCAGCATTCATTCTGGGGAGGCGAATGGGGGAGCAGGAACAGAGAGAGGATTCACTATGAGTCTACTGTTTAGAAGACAGCGTTTTAAACATGTTTCAGGTCTGCTCTTGCGTTTCAAGTCTCAGCGCCTGAGATTGCTTTTCCAGAGCCTACCGTTGATAAAACAATACTGTTGAACATAATTTTCTGTGACAGTGGCAACATTCTCTGGCCGTACCACGCAATACAGCAGCCGCTAGCTACATGAGTCTACTACTAAGCACCTGAAACGTGGCTGGTGTAACCAAGGAACTGAATTTTTCTTTTTTTTTTAAATGTAAGTATCACATGCGGCTAGAGTACAAGCTATAACTCTCCATCTTCTCCAGCCACTAACTCAGTCAGCAAGGTGGGCCAGAGCCTCTGAGCGTCTCGACTGGACAGGAGGGGCGGCAGCAGCGCTTCCGACTCTGCCAGACACAACCCTTGTGTGGTCCACACGGTACACGTGCCGAGAGAAGACAACAGGAGGAGACGAGACAGCTAAAGGTCAAGTGACACTGACATGGAAAGTTCTGGAACAAGAAGTGCACACACGTGCCATGTGATAAGACATCACATGGCTGGGCGCCTGTTCTGGAAACATCCAACAGCCACAGCATGGGGAAGGAGGTGGGCGAGGCCACAGAAAGCACATCGGAAAGGTTCGGTCGGAGCCGGGCACTGAAAAATGATTTCGAATGGTGTGCTAAAAACGTAGACCTGATCCCATGAGCACTAGGGTTTATAACCAAGGAGATAAATGTAGGGGGCCCTGCATCAATTTAGGGGATACTGTAAACTAATGGTAAACTAATGGTCTCAAACTCAAAGACCTTTAAAAGCCAAGCAGGGAGGGCTTCCCTGGTGGCGCAGTGGTTGAGAGTCCGCCTGCCGATGCAGGGGACGCGGGTCCGTGCCCCGGTCCGGGAGGATCCCACATGCCGCGGAGCGGCTGGGCCCGTGAGCCATGGCCGCTGAGCCTGCGCGTCCGGAGCCTGTGCTCCACAACGGGAGAGGCCACAACAGTGAGAGGCCAGCATACGGCAAAAAAAAAAAAAAAGCCAAGCAGGGAGCCAAGAGTGTGTGCCTTGTAGGGTGTGACAATGTGGAGTGGCGGGGCATCACAAAACCAACGGCACCAGGTACCTTTATGGGCTCCACCAGCTCCAGGGCAGGGATGACGTTCTCCGAGACCACCTTGGCAGGCACCAGAGTCTTCATGGGCATCTCCTTCACCTCGTCACAGAACCCAACCAGCCCACAAATCTCCTTGGGCTGCTAAAAAGAGCACAGAAGCAGCAGTGAGAGGCAGGCCCAAACCCACCACCCCCTGTCCCACGCTCTACACACAAAGTCGGGGTGCTGGAGGAACATCCTAGACCCAGTGTCAAAGCTGACTGCCCCCCCAGACAAAGAGCCCACATTAAATCTACAGGGGCTTGTGCAAACGCAGATGCACCAGTTCCACATGGGGAAGGAGGTCATGCAAAGCTCTGAAGAGTGATCAGACAGAACTACTATCCGCTCCAGCCACGGAGCACCCAGGGAAGCAAAACTCCTGGCACCTTTCAAGGGCAATCGAATCAACTCCAAGGACACCTGGTCTGTTTTTCAGCTGAGCTGGCTCGCCCGCAGGAGGAGGAAGTAATAAGCTACATGTTCTTTCTAGAGGAAGAACTACAATGCCCATAAACTAACAGAAAGCCAAATGTGTTAGAAATAAAACCATACCGGATCTTTCAGTAGCAGGACCCTTTAAAATTATACATTAAGGGGAAATACTGGCTTTTTAAAAAGCCACATTCTATGTTCACAATTGCGTACACACACACACACACTACAAATGAAAACCCAGTCTCCCCATGTCATGAATCTTTTCAGGTCACAAGGTCTCCAGATCCCCTTTCCCCATATCAAACCACAGAAGAACTAGATAGTCTGGACAACATCTTGACCATTTCACTACGACAATGGCCAAGAGCAAGTGAAGTATACACACTTGGTATACTTTGTAAACAAATGCAACTAGCTCTGGCCTGATGGCGTTTGCTCCCACTGGCAAATCATAAAGCAGCGGGAACAGGATTGCTAAGACGGGCTCTGTTAAGGGGAAAGAGTAGCTCATGGCTATGGTTCATCTTGTTTTAACATGCGGAAGGCTCTAAAATTAGGTAAGGCTGGAGAATTCTGAAAAGTATATCCTAGAAGTATCCTATCTCTGGCAGGCTTTAAGAACGGGCAAAAATCAGAAAGGGGTTGAAGATATAACAAAGGCTTTTTAGAAAAAGGACAAAGATGAGGAGGTGTGGCTGCTTTGTCTCAGATCAGCTTAGCCGCACTAACTCCCTGAGGAGGCCTAGGTGAAAATTCAGATATTTCAACCGAAGTCCTCTCCTCTCAGACTTCACAATACCTTTGAAAATCTTTAATTCTAAAAACGGATGCCAGTACTCAAAGGAGGGCAGTGCTCAGTACAACCCCGAAAGGGCACTAGCTCGGTAAGTCTAGTCTGGGGGCTCGGTCCCCACGTGTTGCCCCCAGTGGCCTGGCTCCTGAGTTGTCTCGTGTAGCTCCAGAACCCAAAGGACCCCGTCACCCAGAGGGGCAGAAGCCATCGAGAGACTGTTTCCAGTTCTCTGGAGCCAACAGACAGGGGGACAGTCTGCTGGCTATCTGCAGAGGACTTGCTCATGCAGCAGAAGCATTTCTGGGGCGAGGAAAAACACGACCAATGACATGCAACGCTCTCCTGAATCATGACAGAAACAAGGTGTCCCACTGAAGCTGGGCCTGCACTGAAGGAAGCTGAGGCCACCGATGGTTCCCCGCCACACTGGTGGCCTGCACGTGGCTGGCTGGGCGCTGACTGCAACCAGAGTGCAAGGCTCTGCGGGCCTCATCTGCTGGGCCCCCCTAAGGGGAAGTGAGGCCCCGGGCCCCTCCCAGTGCTGAACCACACGGGAGAGATGCGGAAGCTCCCTTGCCAGCCAAGTTATTAACATGGAGAGGGAGCCTGCCTTTCCCAATCTTTCCTTGTTATCTGTCAGAGCTGACGATGCCGTACAGAAAAAGATGAGCAAAATTAACAACAAGCAGCAGCAGACCCACTACTACAAGCAAATTCCCAGCACATACCTGATCCTGCTGCTGAACAAAAAAACAGGAAATCGGAGATGAAAAAAATAAGAGAAAGGAAAGGACACAACAGTTAAGAAAAAATTAAAACAACAATAATCAAGCAGTTAACCAGGTATAAGGATGTCTGTCACCAGAAGTTTAGGTGAAATGCCCTTCCGGTCACCTGTCAGCAACCTACCTTGTTCCTACTATTGCATGCACGTGGGGACCCTGAAAGCTAGTCTCTCCTTCAAGGGTCAGACCACACTGCCCCCAGAAGCCTGTTGGTGCACCATCCCCATGCCCCTAACACGCCACGGCAAAACACTGAGCAGCAGGTCCCCAGAAAACACGTTAGGAGGGGCTTTCCTTGCTCAGAAGCCAAGCCCACCACGCCTGCAAGGCCCTCACCTCAGACTGGGGATGAGCGGCCGGGAACAAGACACAGGGCTGCTCAAAACAGGGGCGTGTGTCCGAATATCTAATACACCCGGAGGGGTCAGGGATCCCCAGCCCAGGTCTCAGGGCAATCTGCCCCCCGGTGGCCGAATGCCAGCCTGGAAGGCTGCTTTGACAATGCAGGCATACCTCACTTTACTGGGCTTCACAGATTTTACAAATTGAAGGTCTGTCGCAACCCTGCTTCAAGCAAGTCTACTGGCCCCCATTGTTCCAATAAATAGCATTTCCTCACTGCATGTTTCTGCGTCACATTTTGGTAATTCTCACAATATTTCAACTTTTTACTGCTATGACTCACTGAAGGCTTAGATGATGGTTAATGGTTTTTAGCAATGGAGTATTTTTTAATTAAGGTATGTACGTTGTTTCTTTAGACCTAATGCTACTGCACACGTAACAGACCACGGTGTGGTATACACATAACTTTTATATGACTGGGAAGCCAAAAAATTCGTTTGACTCACTTTATTGTGATATTCACTGTACTGCAGTGGTCTGAAACCAAACCTGCAGTATCTTTGAGGTAAGCCTGTGTTATTAAAAGCCCTGCCCTTTGACTCAGCAATTCCAGTCTTAGTTACCTATCTTAAGGGAAAAACCAGGAATGCGCATGTGTATCTACTTGTCCCTGAGGAGAACAAACTCAAGGACTGTAGGCCAGTCTCAACATAGTTGGGAAGTCAGCATGACAGAGAAAAAAAGGACAACTCGCCCCTCACCCACTGCAGGTCAGATCTCAGGGGGCCAGTGCATCTTCCCCATGTAAGGATGCCTTCAGACCTCCCTGCCCTGTGCAGTTTGCTGCGTGGATCGAGCTGGCTTCACTGTGCTTTCTGGATATTTTCTACCTCTAATAATGAAGGAATGCCCCTACCCCCTGGATGCATGAGAAGCAAGTGCAGGAGTTACGGGCTCCAGCAGCAGCTACAGCTAACACTGCTGCAGAGTGCAGGACCAGCTCTGGGAGGCGGATGCTCCCGCCTCAGAACTCAGGCTGGAAGACAGCAATCCTCAGGCCTGGCCTAGCTACAGAGCAGACTATTCCCAAGGGTCCCAGAATGAAAGCCAGATGCTAGAAATCTGATGGCCAGCTCACATACGCACCGGCAAACCAACCACCAGGAAGCCAGCAGGGCAGTCCCGGGGGTCAGGCTACTTCAGCCTTTCCCCTACCTGGGGAAGGCAAGGGGGAGGTACTGAGTTGCAGGTGGACAGTCTGCTGGTCAAAGAGGGCTCATTCTGGCCCAATTCAGTACTTAAAGGTAAAAGGGAAACTAAACCATATAATTTTCAAAATCCTAGAAATCACAGTTTGAGACAAAGAAAAATGCTAACAAGGAGCTTCCCCTGCCACCTACCATATGCATCACCATTTGGATAGCAATTTCCGAATACTGGTTGATATAGTTCTTGCACTGGGGAGAGAGAAACAGACTGTTAGCGAAACTCACTGCTACAACAACACACCAAAACCCCACCCTTTCCAACAGTGTCAACAGGTGAGTATCAAGCAAGTTTCCAAGAGTGGAATCATCAACGCCTGCTCTGGGCAAGCCTCAGTAAGATAAAAAATGGCAATCTGGTTACTCCGTACCTTACAGGAAAACACGTGTGCAAAAGCGTTTTGAAAATGTTTTCCAAAGGCCCTTAGAGATGAGGTCCTCCAATCTCCTTTTATGGCCCATACTTTCCCCAAGGTCACACGGCAACTACTCAGCGGCAACTTAGAGTGAGTGTGGCTACAAGATACACGATGACGGATCCGAGATTACTTTTCAAATCCGTTCACACATTCTTGGACAGGATTATAAAGTTTAAATCCAGTATAATCCAGTTAAGTTATAATGATTTTCATAAAAATCTAGGTATTTCCTGCAGACCCTATCTGGTCATGACTGGGGAGCCTCTATACGTGAGAAAACAGGGTGATATGACAGCTCTCAGAGAGGTTAACCTGGGGAAGCCAACTGACACAGCAAATATACCAAGATACTTCAATGAGGCTAAAAGATTCACAGGTTTTAAAGAAAGTTAACAGAAAGGAACCCTTAGCTCCCAGAGCGGACTTCTTACAGCTGGCCTCCCCACGTCCAGCCTTGCAGAGGTTCATTAGTGGTCGGGTGCTAAATGGCATTTTGGTTTTAGACATCAATCTCATGAGTGTGGGTAATGGGAACACGGTCCAAGACATAAACCCCCCACGGGGCTAACGAAGAGTTTCTGAGCCTGGAGGACCAACATTCACCAAAGTAAGGAAGGCATCCCGGGTGAGCCTCTTACAAGCCAGGCGCGTGGCTTCCCCTGGGCAACCACCCTGCTGGCGGCGGGGACAGCACACCTAGAATTACGAATAGACAACAGTCAGGCCTTAGAACCAGAACAGGGTTCTAAGTGGTTCTACTGTTGTTTCTTAAAGTTGTGGTGACTGCGAGAAAAAAAAAAAAAATCTTCACAAAAGTGGTCTCCTTCTCCTTCCACTATTTTGTCCCACGAGTTCTGTTACATATCCAAACTCAATTAACCAACCAGGTATTTAAGTACCCACCACATATCTGGCTGCTTTCTGGGAACTGGGAATTGTCTGAACATCTCTTCTTCAAAGCCCTCAGGCTGGAACTTGAAATGGCGCCCCAGGAAGTGAACTTTTCTTGCCTCCCCCACTGCTGTCTCCACAGCCCAGCTCCCTGGCCCAGAACGTCCTCCGATGCCTGAGGTAAGGCTCACCATGTCGGCCATGCCAGGCCCCAGGCGGTCGCACTCCTCCCTGGCGTGGTCCACCAAGGCCTCGACAAAGCTGGAGTTGGTCCTCACAGCAGTCTGCACGTCAGTCACCATCTGAATGCAGTCCTGGCAAACGTCCCCATCAGCCTAGAGACACAGGGGCAGTTGGTCTGTAAACACTGCATATTCCTAAAAACAGCTAAGAGTGTTCAGATTCCGACATGCTCGTAACTGCAGCACCAGGGGTGAGTCCCTGAACTGTTCCTAATGTGTTTTTACAGGCTCTAAAGGGACTGATAGGTTTAAAATCAAGTGGGCATTGATTATAGTAAAGCTTAACAGGAAGGGGGAACCATCTCTGCGTCTGTTAGATATCCCGGTTCTTCAGAACCTCCATGCACAACCATCTGAACGGTGGGTTGTGGAACTGCAGAATCAAGTAAAGGAATAAGGCCCCAGTCTGAGAGCTGTACGCACACGCCGCCCCCTTTCGTGTCACAGCTCAAACCCAACCAAAGACAGGGCACGGGGCCCTGGGCGGCCAGGCCCACTGCCTCACCTTGTGCTGGGGCTTGCTGTGGGGCCCGTCCTGAGGGTAGAGGAGGAGGGGCACGTTGGCCATGAAGGGAGCCACCACCTCAGCCATATCCAGGTCCGGGATCTGATTGGACTTGAGCTGGTTCTGGTGATTCAGCTCTGCCAGATGCTTCTGAAGAGACTCACAGAGGTTGAGAGCGGAGCACACCTCCCCGGGATGGCTCTGGGGGGAAAGAGGCACAAGTGGAAATCCTCTCCCCAGAAGGAAACAGGCCACCTGGCGCCTTCGAATTCTCCCTTTCCTCATCTCCTGGCATGACTCACGTGCGCACGCCCAGCTAACAGGCGCATCTCAAACCAAACCGCCCGACCTGCTTGGCCAGCCCCACGGCTCCATTATGACAAATGGTTCCACTCCCGGGGGTGCCAGCCACCAACATGGAAGACATGCCTAACTCCTCCCCTCCACCAGCAAGTCCAGTCCGTTTATCCACTAAGACCACGTGCAGCTGTCCGCCTCCACTGTCCCCATCAGATCTCACACCTGACCGTCCTGCCAGCTCTTGCAACTCCCAATTGGTGGGACCCAGACCAGACCAACCCCTTTGAAAAGGGGTCATCTCACCTCTCCCCGTGAAACCCTCCAAGACCTCCCCACTGCACCGACGATCCTGAAACAGCCTGAAAGGTCTTGCGTGATGTGACCCCTGCTTTCCTCACCAAAACCTTGGTCCTATCTCAGGACACTCCTGCCCCACTGGAGGTTTTTAGGGTCCTTCCAAATTCCACAAACCTGGCTCCTTGTTCCTTGCTGAAAACCCAACCTCTGGCACATGGTTTATGCATAACAGATACTTACTGAATGAAAGTCAAGCATCCTTGTAGCTGACATGAGTTATCAAGTCAGCACCTATAACTGTTATACCAGTTTACATTCCTTCATTAATTCTATGAGTTCCCATTTCCCATACCCTCCCCAACCCTTGAACGTTACAAGCAGAGTGGTCTGCATTGCCAAAGCCATTCTGGACGAAACTGTACAAAAGATCTGGTGACGAAATCTCAGTCTATGAACGGACTTTCCGTTTTAGTCACTGTAATCTGGTCTGGAACCTCCCCCGGGCCCCAGAGGTGCCTTGAAGGAAGAGTCTATCTACTCTCCATCACGTACCATTTGTCCTTTAATCATGTCCAGGATGACCGGGAGGTAGGAGTCGACGATCTCCTTGCAGGAGGCAGACATGTTCGGCTTGGGCAGCCAGTCGCAGGTCCTCTCCAAGTACACGAGGATCTCTTGCTAGAGAGGACAGAGGCAAGGGTCGGACCAGGATGGACTCCTTCTCCACAAACGGGCTGAAAGCAAGAGGCCCTCCACAACTCCAGAAACGTGAAGGCTAGAAACAGTGGCCCTCGGGGAAGAGGACCTGGGAGAGGGCTAGTGTGGAGCCGTGGCCCTGCCAGGTCAGGGAGGCAAAAAGCAGGTGCGAGCAGTATTCAGAACGAAGATCCTCTGACCTGCGGTCTCACTGCCACAGGGAATTCTGAGCAGAAGTCACCAAAAATGGACCTAAAGGTTAACGGCATATGATACAAAGTCCCGATCAACCTCGGGCATTTGACGCCTAGCCCAGGAGTCAGCAAACTAGGGCCCGCGGCCCGTTTTTGTACAGCCTGTGGGTAAGAATGGTTCTTACATTTTTAAAGGATGGGGGTGGGGGACGTTACATGACAGAAGCAGTCTGTGGCCCACAGGACAGTTATTTCCGACCTGAGCCTAGACCATTCCTCGCTGGACGCCCTCAGTCACGGCTCTGTACGGAACCGATGCACGTGGCCACACGGCCACCGCTCACACGCAGTCACACACCCTGGTGGCGGCTCACCTCAGTGGCGTTGTCTTTCAACATGTCACCGGCTGCAGTGATGACGTCTTTGCATATGTCGCAGGGAAGGGATTTCTAAGAGGAAGGAACACGAGGGAGAGAGATCTGTATTCGTAGGACATAACTCACACCGCACACAGCTGAAAACTGCCATGGCCGTTTTCCTGTTTCATCTAACCATGGCCATCTCTGACACACGGGCACATCCCGGTCCCCCAACCTAGGTGAGAAGCACTGGACACCGCGGGGGAGGCTTAGATGTGGCTGATCACGCTACGCTGTGCTTCTGCAGGATAGAAACCCTTCTCCTGTACCCTCTACACCCCTCAGCGCCTTGCTCAGTGCACACGGCACAGGCTACATTTCGCATTCATGCTCACAACAGCTCTGTGAAGAAACTGAGGCTCAAAAGTCAGCTGGAACTCAGGGCAGCAGAAATCAGAGAAAATCGGTAACGTGACGGAACATCACAGAGTAAGAGGGTGCGGGCAGTGAAACAAGGCCCAGTCAGACCTCTGCGCACTCCCACCAGCACTGCTGCCGGCGCTCTGTCTGCCTTCCACCTCCTGGGCAGTGCTGTGTGCCAGTGAAGGCCGCACGTCACCACTGCAGAGCTCAGAGACATGACGCGAGTCTTCTAGACAAGCCTGGCATCCCTACATGGCCCAGGACCACGGAAATTCTAGCCAGTCCTCAAAGCTCGTGGGGCGCTCCCTTCTTTATGTCAACCAATTTTCAACCCATGAAGAAGGAACTAACACATCTGGGTGAGATTAAGGAACACCTGTGAATTTAGCTGCATTTAGAGAAACCGCCTTGAACCTTCGGACCTTATCAGGCTAATACTGTGCATGCGGCCACTCAGGTTACATATGCCTTTTTTTCAGTATCGTGAACTTATGATATCGTGAATTTGTGCATGATGCCCGAGAGGTTCCGGTATCCACGAGACTGTCCTGTCAAGAGAGAAAGATCTAAACTGCCCCCGTGATACATTAAATTTCAAAAGAGGAAGCAGTATTAAAAACAAGATCAGAAGCAAATTAGGAACCAAATCTGAAAGTAATTTTGGCCACAGAGAGTGGTTTAAGACAGTGAATTCAGAAAACTAAAAGAGCAGTGTTACTGAATTAATTCTTCTTCTCTTACTGAAGGAGTACTAGTGGCCAGCAACAAGTTTTAGACCTCAAGCTCCACACAATCAAACCTGTACCACAGGCTGAAGCACATCCCAGAGCAAACAAACAGCACTTCCTGTAGTCCCCTGGCCCAGCCAGCAGAGCTCGGGCGTCTCCTGAGGACTCAGGTTGCGTGGAGCGTGCACTTGAGGTCTGTCATCTTAAGAGTATTCCCCATATTAATGTGCTATATTTATCACTGTTTAGATGAAAAATCAGTGGCATCTTTTCCAGTCTGGCTATAGTTGGAAATAAAATTTTAGATAGCTACCAAGCTCTAGGGTCTGAATCAGTGATCTGCCTGGTTAAAAGACAAAAAATACCAAAAAAGGGGGGAAAGGATTTCAAAAGCTTAGCATCTACTTTGAGTGAGTGACCAAGGACAGAGCTGTACCCGTGTGCCCTGTCCTGGGAATGGGAGCTGCACCTGCCGGTCCCTTATGTGGGGTAGAGAGGTGGGAGCTGCATCTGGAGGGCAGCATGGGGCACGTGGTGGAGGACAGGCAGGACCTCCCCCTATCTGTGCCACCAGGACACTGGTCGGCCTTGGGGGAATGGAGCCTCCCCGCTCCAGCCCGCCACTCCTCCCTCCGCATGGGTACCCCCACCCACAAACAGGTCTCAGGTTCACCAGGAAGAACAAACAAAAGGAAGCAGGAGAGAGCGCTCCGTAAAGGGCAGCAGTTACAGACGACACAGAGGCCCAGCCGTCGGAGGCACTCACCACGGCCGGCTTGTTCCAGACGGTCTGCAGGCAGTGCTGCACGGCCCCGCAGTCAGACGCCGTCTTCACGTTCTGGCACCACACGGCCGAGCCTTGGGTACATTCTCTCAGGCCCAGGACGGGGCTGGCGAGAGCTGCAAGCAGAATCAGTGTGAGGATGCGGCCCATTCCCACTTACCAGGCCCACCTCACTTGCTTCCCCAGCATCAGGGGCCTTGGCATTTTGCGGGACACTAGGCTGGCCCCTCACCAGCTGTATGAGACACGAGCCACAGAGCCAAGGAGCTGCGCTGTCACATCATATGTCACAGGGCTGAGAGGGACTAATCTACCTGGTTCACCGTTTTCCTCTCACACTATTTTTAAACAATATCAGACAGATCAGTCCTTTTAATCTTTACCATCTTAAATTTCCATGAAGTAATGAAAGAAATCACAAGAGGAAAGACTGGCAGGTTTAAAAATAGAGATTTTAACTTCCGTAGAAATGAAAAATGGCCAAAGTTAAAAAAATTGTAATGAGGGCTTCCCTGGTGGCGCAGTGGTAGAGAGTCCGCCTGCCGATGCAGGGGACACAGGTTTGTGCCCCGGTCCGGGAAGATCCCACATGCAGCGGAGCGGCTGGGCCCGTGAGCCATGGCCACTAAGCCTGAGCGTCCGGAGCCTGTGCTCCACAGCGGGCGGGGCCGCAACAGTGAGAAGCCCACGTACAGGAAAAAAAAAAAAAATTGTAATGAGAACACAAAGAGTCATATCCTCATTACATAAAACAATGGCTTTTAATGTTGTTCTAGTAGAAGAGACCTTTTATAATCAACTGGGTGAGTTTCTGCACATAAACAAGTTTGCTAGCAAAAAAACAAAACTACATAGCCTGGATATCACAAAGTGTAGGTATGTCCATTCGAAACCGATTGCACACACAGAGTTTCATCTATGGTGTAACAAGGAAAGGACTCAGGCGGAAGTCACAACCACAGAAATGGGATTAGGGAAAAAAAAAACGGAAGAAAGGTTCAAGTCACCTGGAACCAAAGAAATGCAGGTTAAAGCACGAAGGTACCATATTTTTAAAGTTAAAATAATAATAATAGCCAACGGAAAACAAAAACAAAAAACCTTACCACCGAATAGTGATAAATTTGTGGAAAAAGATGCATTCTTATAAGGCTGACAGCAGTGTGACTAGTAAGTACTTCTCAAAATATATTAATATATTTCGAGAACTGAGGGGAAAAAAATCCCTCTTCAAAAATCCACTTCTAATAAAACATTTTAGGGAAATCCAGTAATTCAAGAGGTAAAATACAATATGCCTAAGTGTGTATATATATATATATAAAGTCAAATTCACGACATTAAAAAAAAGGCAGATGTAACCTGAATGGTCAAAACTAGAGGGAAAAAACTAGTAATATTCTGACCAAAATATTATGCAGGGGCTTCCCTGGTGGCTCAGTGATTAAGAATCTGCCTGTCAATGCAGGGGACACGGGTTCGATCCCTAGTCTGGGAAGATCCCACATGCCATGGAGGATTTAAGCCCGTGTGCCACAACTACTGAGCCCGCACTCTAGAGCCCACAAGCCACAACTACTGAGCCTGTGTGCTGCAACTACTGAAACCCATGCCCCTAGAGCCCATGCTCCGCAGCAAGAGAAGCCACCGCAGTGAGAAGCGCGTGCACTGCAACGCAGGGTAGCCCCCGCTCACCGCAACTAGAGGAAAGCCCATGCACAGCAACGAGAACCAACACAGCCAAAACTAAATAAATAAATAAATTTATTAAAAAAAAACATTATGCAGTTGCTAAATATACTTATAAAAATGATGTACGTCAAACAGAAAAATATTCAAGAATATGAAATTGGGGTTGTACAAAAATCAGAAAATAAAACAAGATGGTTGGCTAAATTACTTTTTTAAATTCCCCATGTCATGTTGCTTGTGTGTAATTTTAAAGAATATTTTATAAACTGCCCTGAGAGAATTATGGTATTCCTTGATTCTGGAACTAAAAACTGGGAAGAAAACTCTCACATTCACACCTCACTGGGAAGCAACAGATTACACCGGGCCACATGCAGACGTGTGACTGCACAGCAGCTATCACAGGAGGGTTGAAGTAACTTCTACTGTAAACAGAAAACATTTGGCTTGGGTCTGAGAAGAAAACCCCACAGCCACGTAGAAACAGATTTAGAACCGCAGGAGTCATGCTGCATGTTGCTTCACCTTGTAAACCAAGAGAGGACACAGTAATTCTATAGACATCTCTCTCTCTCTCTCTCTCTCTCTCTCTCTCTCTCTCTCTCTCTCT